TTTCATTAAAAAAAAAAAAAATACAAAAAACCCCCACAAGTGCCTAGATGGAGGTGAAAGGAGATAATCTCTAATATTTTTATAAGAGGAAATATGCGTAGCAACGAATCCAAATGTAACCAGAGATTATTTCAACTGCTAGGGTGCATAATCATACTCATCTCCATTGGAAAATTTCCCAAATTAGAACTCCAAGACAGAAGAATCAGGAATGTCCTATTTGAAATACCCTCATCCTGACTGTGGGTTTCCACATGAGTCTGGGTCGGGTCCAAAACAGCCTTTAATGCCCATCTTGCCTGTGTGAGACTGCTCCTGTGGCTGAGGAGCACCTACTCATGCAAGTTACGAGGCTCTTTAAACCTCTCAAAGGCCACTGCTGACATTAATATTCCTTCCTCCGGTGTTAATCGTTAGTTAGAAAAATCACTGCAGTATTATTTTCGAGGCAGAAGGAAAGAGGGTAGGGCATCCATAATGCTTGATTTGTCGTGAGAGGGATATGAGGCAGTAACTCCTTGGGAAAGCATTCTGCTGGAAATCGACATTGGCTCCATCCCTCTGCAGCTCACAACTGTGAAATGGCTGTTTTGTCGAGCTTGTCAGCAATCTGCATCACTCAGTTGTCAACACAGAGTGCCTGGGTTGGCTCACAGCGCAGCAATTTCCAGTTGATGAGCTGGTTGAATTGATACATTCACTTTGGGAAATAAAATAAGAATATTCTCATTTTGAGTGAAGCTAGCACTGCATGAATATCCCCCTCAACTAAAAGAGAGACAGAACGGGAGTGTGCATAAGACAAGGTGTGATTAGCAGGAGGGAGAGAAGGAAAGACAACATATCTTTGGAGGGAATTGTTTCATTCATTTTTTCTTGGATATTCCCAAAGGAGATTCTGTTTTCTGTATTGGTTGTATATGCCATTTGAAGCCAATGAGAACTCATTCTTTCACTTTTTCCCCAGCTCCTGTTTCTCCTCACAATGCATTCACTGCCTGACTGTGGGTATAAATTAGCAGTTGTGTGCAGGCTGCATTTCTTCTCCAAAGAAGAGAGGTCATTTCTTTGTAAATATGGAATCAAAGACTCGTGAATTAATGACTCTCCACGATAGCCAAGCTGGACACAGGAGGGATGAATCCTTGTAAAGTATCAAGGACAAATATAATTTCTAAAACAAGATGCACAAGGGCAGGAGTTAGGGACCATGCAGATAACAGCAAGCCTCACTCCATTGCTTGGATGCTGGAGCAAGGCAGGCTGGTTTTGAAGTTGAATGGTATAGTGGTAATAAGAACAATTCATTGTTTAGCACTGCTCTTACCGGCGGTACTTCATCATTTTCTGGTGCAGGAAAAGAAGGAACTCAGTTTTCTCTTTTATTTTTTTACTTTTTTCCAGTAATGTGGCATGCACAGAAGGAATCCCTCATATTCTATGTAATCTGTTACTGTTAGCATTTTCTGCCACTGGCATTCATTCTCCTTACTGCTTCTCTTTCTCTTGCTGCTACATTTGCCATGGGTCTGAGCATGTAATAGTGATGCAGTACATGTTAGCAAAAAGATCAGAGCTGTCTCTCACTACCTTGCTGCAACAGCTGCTGCAAAAACACGCTTTATATTCCTGTTTCTGTTTGACAGAAAAATCATCCTGAAAACCTTTAGATAAATTAAACATTCCTAATGTGCAGCATTTAATGTCAAACTTTCATATTTTATGATTTTTTTTTTTTCTGTCAACTTGATACAGAGTACGCATAATTGGTAGCCTTAAAATCCTGCAGTGTTAAATGAGCCTTCAAAACTCGGGCCTTATTTTGTTTCTGGTATTGATACCAATCCTTAATTACGCTGGTATTGTGTAACTATCTCAGCACACCCTTATCTGTCGGGTTGGACTTTGTTTCACATTGCATATTTACAGTTGGAGGCTTGACAAGAGGCAGAAGCAATCAAATTGTATTGTCTGGCATAGCATTGGGAAACCGCCAGGTCTCTCGTGCAAAATATTAATAATAGACTGTGTGCTGCCTTTGTAAAACAAAAACATGCCTTGCTTAAACTGCTTAAAAGTTGCATCTCATGTGATGCTGTCAGTATGGGGCCCCAGTGTCAGACATCTAAAGGCGTTTTAATCTTTGTAGAGCTTTTTTCCTTGCAAATCACGCTGTAAGCTCCTGCTGCTGATCTCAGGGTAAGATGCTTACATTAAACTGTTGCTGCAGATAGGAAGGAGCCAACTGTTGCTGGGCAGAGGACGAGCCTGTGAGCCACATCGTTGGGAAGGAATAGACTGCTCTTGCAAGGTGAGGGAGCTGTTCAGGTCCAAGCTTGAATTTAGAGACCTGTCTGCAAACACAAGGTGCTACTGCTGCTCTAAGTTCCTTGAGAGCCAGGCACTTGATTGCTGCATCTGGCAACAGCTGGGAAGAGCTCACACAGGTATATCTCTGTCTCTTGCTGAGATTGATCCAAGGAGGCAGGGATACAACCAGTTCTATTAAGTGGGGGGGGGGGGGGGGGAAACAAACAAAACAAAAAACCAGAAAGATTTATGAAGAGGCAGCAAAAGATATTTAAAAGGCATTCACAGAGTTGTTAAGAAAGACTTCAGAAATACATGAAGCCACTTCAGGGGCTTTGCATTCTAGATATATAACTACTCTGTAGCACGTTTTCTATAATCCATCAAGGCCTAAATATTTGGATTGAAGGTCATGCAGCACAGCAAGCTGGATTTTATTAATCTCACCAGAAGAATGAGAAAAGGCTAAATATGAACCACCAGAAATGCAGATGTCGGGAACAGCAAGTCCCAGCAATATGCTTGCAGAGCATATCTTGTCTTCATTAGGAAATGCAGAGCCCATCAGCTTGGCATGGATCCTAGCTGGATAGCAGTTTGTTAGCAATGATTTGTTAGCACTGATGGAATGCTCCCTCTACATTAATTCCTAATGGATTATTGCAAAATGTTCTGTAATGATGACGTGCTTGAGCTGTTAATTGATTATTAAATGCCTTAAGAGCTTTATGAAAAGCATAAGAGAAAATTATTGGATCATGCTGCTCATTATCTTTAAAGAAAATGAATACGCTGCATTTCCAACTGGCTTGTAAACCTCTTTTGTTTGGAAACAGATTCATGTCACAATCTTTCTGTCTGGTAATATCAATGACTGCCGCCTGCTCAAATGTATTTGTGTTCTGACAGCATAGAGGCCCGTACCAAGCTGTCAACTGGAGTTGTTCCCATTGACTGCAGGAGTTGGGGCACTGCTTGCTTGCCTAAGTGCAAAACAAAAGTTTGTGGAAGAGCTGGATCACATCCACATTCTTGGATTTCCGTGCTGACACAGCAACCATAGGTCTCTGAAGAGAAGAGAGGTAAACATTTTTATTTCTAAAATGGAAGCATTATTATAACCTAAAAATCCCTAAATTTTGGGCCCTTCATTTGGCTGCTACTGCAGAAGCTGTGCAAACACTTGTCTTTGAACACTTGATAGCATGTTTTCTAAGGAATTTGTAAGACAGATCCTATAAGGAATCTCACCTTGGCAGCATGGGCTTTCCTCAGTTCTTGCTCTGTGCTTCTGAAAGCCACAATAACAATGAGAGCACAATTCTGAAGGCATCAGGAGCCTACATGCTAGGTAAGCACTGGCTGATCTTACCACAGCCCAGACTGACCTGCCATTTTGCATTATGACAAGCCTCTGCTAGGAAGGAAGCTCAACAGGAGCCTGAGTGCTTTTGTGTGAAGTGGGAGAATGCAGCCCTGGGTAAGTTATCACAGCATGTATCTGGTGCCATCTGAGCCTGAGAAAGAATATTCTGTGGTGTGGGGTGCTCAGCTGATGTCTGGTGCAGGGGAAAAGGCAGAGAAGAGACAGAGCAGCGTGGGGTCACATTCCCACCACGTAGACCAAAAATCCACAGGTAGATCACTGATTTTCCTTAGGGAAAACATATCTCATTCTCTGTGTATCTCAGTTTTTATCACCTAAGACTCATTGTTTTCTACTACTCCAATTAATTAAATGTAAAGGTGAATAAGCAAACATCAACCCGTGAGATAGAATCCACCTTCTTGGCTATTTGGCCAAAACAGTTCAAGGTTCAGGAAATCCAAACACTTTCTAACTCATCATATAGTAAGGTTTTTATTTATGTTTACAAAAGAAGTTTCCCACCCAGAATGTTAGACCCACCAGCATCTCTCATGCATTCAAGTGCTGCTGTGTGAGACAGATATAGATCCCACCTGATGGTAAGCTGTACTAGGAAATCTCTGACAGAGAAAGGAAAGCAGCACTTGTGGATGATGGAAATAATGAAACAGTGATAAGTATTTTCCAAACTGCCTTTACAAGTTGAGGTTCTGAATATCAGTTCTTAGCGAATTGTTCTTTGGCAACTTTACAGTAAATTCTTACTTGCATAAGTCACAATAAAGAAATCAATACATACATTCCTAAATGATACATTTTGTTTTTAAGATTAGAGAAGCTTTCTCAATCTCTGATTGTCTCAAGCAAAGTTCTGGAAATGGACAACAGTCTCTGGAGTTCTGTAGAAATCTGAACAGATTTAGTTTTCTGACTCAGAGTTGGCCTTGGCAACTTCAGCTTAATTGGTTTTCTTGTTGACTTTTACCCTTGGAAGGTGTTTCAAATGAGAAACAATTTCTGAATAAGTAAGTGTTTTATTTCCTATTTTGATTTTCAAAACTTAAACATCAAGAGTATCAAACTCAGTTGGAATATTAATCTCAGCAGAGGAGATTCCATGTAAATTTACATCTGTATGGTGTCACTGGTGTCAATGAATCATTACATACAAGCTGGACCTAATGTTGGTTCTGATGCATTAAAAGCAGTTTTTCTGCCTGCAGATTCAGTATTATTTCATCTCAAATACTCAAAACTTGGTTACACTCACCTTCTTTAAGCCTCTCACCTAATTTCAAGGAGGAATTAGAACACTTACGGAATGGCTCAGCCGCAGCAAGGGGCCGCCCTGTGCAGTCATTGCCCGTTCAGCCGGTGAGTGCCACTCAAACATGGAAATTAAGGAGTAGGACTTAGACTTGTTTGGAATCTCTGTCCTGATCCTCAGTGTAAGGCTGGATTTCAGCTCTTGTTCCCAAACCTGCAGTGAGTAAACAACTGCTGACAGCTAACCATTTTTAGAATGCATACAATAGAAATGAGTAGAAAACGTGAGAGTTGTATTTGTGTTTTCAAGCTGTACCGCCTCACAACTAATGCTGTTGCCACCACTTACTCTGAAATGAACAGATATTTTGCAAAAAGGTTTTCAATTTTTGCAGCAAAGCGTGGACCCCTCATTTCTGCACGCAGTCTGGAGGAGTCGGTACACTCCCACTTCACTCCAGACCTCAAACGCAGTCAGGTAGTGCAAGGGCCCTGGAATAGCTGCAAATTGAAAGTGAATTCTGGGTATTCATATGTAAATGAAAGTAACTGATGTCCCATTGTGCTTTTGCTTTCAAAAATTGAAAAAAAAAAAAAGGAAAAAAACCCTCCATAATAAAGTATTTGCATATAAAAAGGCTTTTAACTCACATTCTTTGCTCATTGGCAATCTTCAGAAGCTCATTATTCCTCCCTGCTGTTAAAGTTACCTGGAAAAAACATTCACATTGCTGGTCAGATGGAATTTCATAAACAATAATTTCTTTTTCATTTATTTCCATAGGATGCAAAGCTGGACACAGGGCTATTATTTCTAGGCACAAAGTGGAAGAACAGTGTAAGATTCTGTTTCTGTCCCTGTTTGTTTTCAGATGGCCCTGGCTCAAGATATAGACGTGCCATTTATCATCACCATACTCACCATGCCTGGATGTGTTTAAGAACCGTTTGGATGTGGTGCTCAGGGATGTGATTTAGCGAAGGGTTGTGAGTTAGGGTAGTATGGTTAGTATGGTTGGGTTGTGGTTGGACTCGATGATCTTGAAGGTCTTTTCCAACCTGAGCGATTCTATGATTCTATGATTCAGTAGAAAGTCTTACTGTGAGGGAGAAGGAAGCATTGATGCGTTGAGTTTTTAATGCTGAGCGTGCAGCTGTGTGACAGGATAGCTGCAAGCAAATGGCTTCAGCTTCATTTCTGTATTACTTCTACAGGTGTAAATTTGGAATAACTCCAGGAAATCAGCGGAGTTACAGTGCTAATTCCAATGTTGCTTCCTCATCTGTGAAAGAGGTCAATGGCATTCTCCTCTCTCCAGGGGTTTGACAAGGATATTTAGGGAATGTTGACTCTTCGTTGTGTAAAATGCTACTACGCTGTTAGTGCAGAATTTGTACTGTACAGCTGAAAGAAACTGTACTGTACAGCTGAAAGAGACAGCACGCAAGGTATTCATGCTCAGCCCACTCTGCTAAAGAGCCATCATAATATCTTGGCTTTCATTATAGCACCTTGTGCGATTTTTCCATGACTGCTCTCATTATAAAAAGAAATATGGCCTGTTATATTGGGAAAGCATCCAGGTGCATATAAATAAATGAACAGCAAAACATTACTAAGTGTAAAATATGCATACATCCTCTGCTGTGCTGTTCGTTTGTGACAAGTCAAAGAGAACGTCCTAAGTTTAAAATCAGCATCTCTCATTCTGCAAAGCAATTTGTTGTTATACACCTACGGTGAGGAGGAATAAAATACACGTGGGCAAAACAGTGGTCCAAAAGTTAATGATTGCCAGGAGTGACCTGCAGCTTTCAGGCAATCCTTTGAACATTTCCTGTCTTGTTATTCCTGTATATAAACGAGAACCTTCTTTGTAAGAAGTAGTGAGGGTACCAGACATGAAAGCCCTGGCATATACCTATCCAATGCAAACTAGAATGTAACTTTAATTCTTAAAAAAACTAGCAATTGACAAAGTGATCACAGAATCACAGAATCATAAAATGGCCAGGGTTGGAAGGGATCTCAAGGATCCTGATCCAACACCCCCCCCTCCCCCTGCCAAAGGCAGGGCCACCAACCTCCCCATTTAATACCAGACCAGGCTGCCCAGGGCCCCATCCAACCTGGCCTTGAACACCTCCAGGGACGGGGCATCCACAACCTCTCCGGGCAGCTGTTCCAGCACCTCACCACTCTCATAGTAAAGAACTTCCCCCTGACATCCAACCTAAATCTTCCCTCCTTCAACTTAAAACCATTTCCCCTTGTCCTGCTGTTATCTACAGTTGTAAAGATTTGATGTTGTGAAACTGTCACAAAGTAACTGGGAGCAAGGAAAACTGCAATAACAATGCTTTGCACTTCAGTTCTCAATGCACTTTACAAAAAATAACTGTACTGTTCCTATTTTGCAAGTTTGGAAAGTGATGCCACTTGAGCAAGTGCATTGTCAGAATAAAGTGGATGGAGAATGATGTGGGGGAAGATCACACAGGGAAGAGCAGAGTGGGAGTGAGGCCACCACTTCCGGAGGCCATCCCACAGAGCTGCTCCCATTACTGCTGTTGCCGTGGAAAAGCTGGCCTGCCAAACAACCATAGAGGTGCTACATAAAATTCCACCCCCTGATTAGAGAACCCCTCCTTGTGAATCACTTTCTTAAGTGTTTGGATCTCCTTTCTCCTTCCAAATGACAATATTTAAACAGGATCTCAAGCTGGCTTGTACAATTATGCTGTGATAGCAGCATTGCTACTGGTTCCACATTGTCAGAGTGCTTAGAGTGGTCTCATCGATGTGATATAAGAAAGACAAGCTAAAGCATGCTTTGTTGCAAAAATATCTGCGATAAGAAACAAAGGTATTACAACAAATGCTGAAAATTACACACTGGGAAGAGATTTTCTTTCCAAAATCAGGTGCTTGGATATCCACATGATAAAAGAAAAAGAAGCCACAATATTTCCTATAACAATTTAATGTTGGAAATAAATTAATCAAGTGATTTTTCCTGTAGCCTCTATGAACTGGCAATAGCACTGGTTTGGACAACCTGTCCTGAAAAAGAGCTCATTATAACTAATTGGATTGTATTGTATGATAAAATTATGAATTTTATGTCCAATTAGAAAAATACTCAGTGGTGCTCATTACTTGATTCCAGTGGTGGATGTCTGCCAGGATACATGTAACTAAAATGTGCATTTGGGTTAGGTTAATAGATTTTGAGAGCAGAATCAGCTCTGACAACAGAGAAGTCATCTATTAGAAGCAGTAACTCAGAGATCACAGCAAAACTGCTTGTTAAAAAAAATCATAAATTTGGGAAAACATCAACGTTTATGGAAATTTATTATGTCTGATTTAAACAGATGACTTAGCAGAAGAGGTGAGGATTTCTTAAAAGCTTGTGACTTGACCACAGTGAATCAAAATGATTGAACACATGTCTTAAAGTACAAAATACAGCTTATATCTTTCCCTACAGTCAAAAGCAAAGACAAAATAGACACTTAAATGATGCACAGGTGAACTCAAGAGCACCTATATATGCACTGCTCACAATTATAGAATCATACAATCACAAGATCACCAAGGTTGGAAAAGATCTCCAAGATCATCCAGTCCAACTGTCCACCTAACACAGTATTTCCCACTAAACAGTGTCCCTTAGTACAGCATCTCCATGTGTCTTGAACACCTCCAGGGGCAGTGACTGCACCACCTCCACCAGCTCCTAACCACTCTTTCAGAGAAGAAATTTTTCCTAATATCCAACCTCAGCCTCCTCGGAGCAACTTGAGGCCATTCCCTCTAGTTCTGTCACTAGTTAAGCAAGAGGCTGACCCCCATCTTGCCATAATCTCCTTTCAGGCAGTTGTAGAGAGTGATAAGGTCTCCCAGAGCCTCCTCTTCTCCAGACTGAACAATCCCAGTTCCCTCAGCGCACCCCGTAAAACTCCCGCTCCTGTTCCTCACAGCTTTGTAGTCTTTTTCTGGACACACACCAGGGCCTCAATGTCTTTCTAGTAGTGAGGGCCCAAAACTGAACACAGCAGTCGAGGTGCAGCCTCACCAGGGTGGAGTACATTCAGAACAAAATTAAAAAATTGAGGATTGAAAACTGATTGAACTTCCACCCCTAGACAGTGGCACAAAAAAGTCCGTGCCAGTAATGAGCGAAGTATCCCCAAGGTCAATACTGGATCCAGTCCCGTTCAACATCTTTGTTAATGATCTGGATGAAGGAGGTAGAGTGCACCCTCAGTAATCCCAGACATGACACAGAACGGGGAGGAGTGGCTGGTTCACCAGAGGGCTGTGCAGACGTCGAGAGAAACCTTGACATGCTGAAGAGGTAGGCAGGCAGGAACTCTTGAAGTTCAGCAAGAACTGCAGAGTCCAACATGTGGGGAGGGACAACCACAGGTAGCAGAACATGTGGAGTACACCCAGCTGGAAAGCTGCTCTGCAGAAAAGGGCCTGGAGGTCCTGGAGGGCACCAACTTGAACACCAGCCAGCAGTGTGGCCTTGCTGCTAAGAAGGCTGATGTTGTATAATTCTGTCTCATTTATCACAAAACAACATTTATTTAATGTGGTATAAAATCTAGCTTTGAGCAGAGGACTGAGCAATAGACTTACACACAATGACAAATGCTGATTGGCCTCGTGTGCATAAAATTTAACCTTGGTCATTCTCCTTCATCCAAAATATAATGCTGTCTGGCACTGATTCATGCCTAGCTGCTCTTTGCTACCTGCAATGGAATGAGCTGTCTGACCAGCCAACCCAGTCTGTGTGAGAGGAAGCTGATAGATGGCATGCAATAGGGCTTTATTTGTTCCTCAGTATGTGTTTATCCTGCATCACAGAATATCTATTTGTCAAATATTAATTGAATTCTCCAACATTTGACATATTTGCATAACTATTATGAAATGAGGCATTATCTCTCTTGGCATTATATGCATTTCCCTTAGACGGTGTCTCTTTGATCCATTAATCAAGTTTCCTGTATCCTCCCTCTGAAGCTTAATTGCACACATCCTACAGAACCCACTCACAAAGAAAGAAATTAGCTCTATGTAAATCTAAGGTTATTACTTTGCATCTATAAACGTGAAATGATTAAACTATCCTCTAAAAAGGACAGCAATAAAGTTATAGACGAGCAACAATCACTTAAGGAAGCAGACTGCAGTAATTTTATTGGGCCGGTGGGAAAGAATAGTTTTCCTTTGCCAAGGACATTACAGGAGCAAATAATACTGCTGTCCTTGTCTTTCTCCACTACTGCTTCAGTCCCCTTTAATGATTTCATTGTTACTTTATTATCAGAAATAAAATGTCTGATCCAACAGAAGCCTCCAGTTGTGAGGCTGCTGTAGGATCACATGGGTTGGTACATCAGTTTCCCATGCAGCTCCTAGGCATTACTGAGCACTCAATGTATGAGCCAGGGATGTCAGAACACTTACAGGCAGCCACTTAAAGTCAAAGCTGCAGCTACCTAGCACTGCTTGATAGAAACTGCTGTCACAAGGAATACACCTTCAATCCACTCTCTCACACCTGCAGGAAGATGCTTTTCAGGAAATATACCCTTGTCCTCAGTTGGCTACTAAACATAGAAATCCACATTTTCATAAAAAAAGTTGGTCAAAGTTCCCTTTTTCCCCCTAATAGGAGCAGACAGTAGGAACAGCGCTTTGGTGATTACAGCCCTTGCAGAGGGAGCAGATTGAATGTTTTTCCATGCAGCTCAGAGCCATATTTCGCAGAGATGTACTAACCATCAGGTATATCTCTTTCTAGGAAAGGAAGCCGGTGAGGATTGTCTGCCTCTTCCTGTGAATCCATGCCACTGTGCCTGAAATATATATACTATTCATTTTGCCATGGTGAGATTGAGCAGCTGACTCTGAAATCAGGTTCTTCTGACAAAACATGGAAAATGGGAGGTCTGGTCTCTAGTCATCTCTTCTGCCCAACAAGTGTTGTTAGCATTGCTGACATCAGAACAACTTGAGCATGTAAAAGCAAGACTAGAAGTCTGTGGACTTTTAGGATTAAAAAATTCTAATTTCTTCAGCAGTTTAGCAAGGCAGACCTGGATCTGGAGCTCAGTTGCATTTATCAGATTGAGCCCTAAGAGACTAAGCTGAGAATACCTGCTCTAAAATCTATGATCGCCCAGAAAACAAACTCAGACTCCAGTTTGCCAAGCTAGCATCTAAGTCATGAACCAGCTTCTCTTACAGATTTTCCTCTCTCAGGTGATGCTAAACTTACCTCAGTCACTAGAGATGCTTTGTTCCTTGATCTCTCCTTGGATCCTCTAATATTTAGCAAAGAATCATCTCCCTGTCTGTAGAGATGTTGGTTTCCATTACAAAGAAAAAAACAGAAGCAAGAAGAACCAATCTAACACTGTTACAAATTCACTGCTTTCTTTAAAATACTACTTCACTGACTCGCAGTTTTTTTCCAGGTCTCTCATCCTGGTGTAAACCCATTCTCATGCCTTGTAAATTTTTCTTTACCAAGCTTGACTTTTTAAGGTTCTCTTTGAGACATATTCCTTCCATAAAGCCTTTTAATGACTCCATCTACAGAATCAGTTTCTTTCTACTAAAGAAAACATCAAAGATAATTTGTGATAGGATGGTAACTTGGTATATCGCAGGGCTGTCTGATCATATAGTCTGTTTGATTCAGACTGTGGGCCTTGATCAAACCAGGATCAACTCTTTTCTCCATGAACATTTTGTTGGTATTTCATAAAGAATACCACAGTACTTTAATGGATATCTGAGGATAATGACAGGTACGTTTTTGAGAGGAACCCATATTCTGTATCTCACTCTATTTCAGCCGGTGCGGAAGATGCCAGTGATGGCAGAAACCAGCAGCTGGGAAATGCAGCACCCTGCAAACAGCTTTCATTGACCTATGTGTAAATGACTACTGAGACATTTAAAGTATTCTGATTGGATCCTTTCATCACTTATTAAATTGGCCAAAGCTGAACATTTATTCTTCTTTTTCCTTCTAATATCATCCAGAACCTTTAATGTGTTCCTTGACAATTTGTAGACCTAAAGCCTTCAGAATGTTCTTATATTAATTTTATTGCTCACCATACAGCATTTGGATGCTCTTCTGAGAGAATACGAGGCTTGTGAAGACACTTTTCAATATACACTTAATGTGCTGGACAATGCCAAGGGAAAATTCATGCCAAAAGGCATTATCCAGTTTCTGATTCCCTTTGCTAGTCTTCCTACTTACAACAAACACAAGCAATCAAATGGAGAAGGTAAATAGTATCAAGCAAGTCAGTTTAGGTTGGAGAAATAGTAGTGGCTTTTGTTTTATTTAGTTTTCTTTTATCCTGCAGCATCTTTCTAATGATTAGAAGCTGCATGTGGGGAATCTATACAGGCATTGTTTTAGTATGGCACTAGAATGCGTAACTCTGCAGCCTCTCCTGCATGACAAGGAACATAATAATGAAAGTTACTCTTCCTCAACTGTCAAGAAAATTTATTTCAAAAATTTATTTCAAAATCAGTCTCGGGCAGAGACTGTTGTAGGCTGTGCCTGCATGGGCTGCGCACACTGTATTAGTCAGTCTCTATAATGAAGATCAGCTTTTTCTTTTTGTTAGGAACCATCTGTCTTTGCAAAGTTTACATATAAAAACTGCACTTAATTCAAACTGTTTAACAAAAACACATTGTGATTTTGAGACCGTATTAACTGGAAGATTGCAAACCTTTGTAAAACCACATCCTGTTAGTTCCTGGTAGTCATGATAATTAGATATTTGTTGTTAAGTGCTAAAAAAGATGAAACAGCATGACAGAAGTAATCACAGATCAAAACAAAATGAACCATAGGGAAACATTTAAGAGCATATGATAACATGCTATGTGACACCGAGGAATGCTGAATGCAGGGAATAGCCAATTCAAACTGAGTGAAGCTCTCCTTTTATTCAGACACTTCAGTAATCAGCAAGAAGGAGACAAGAAACAAAAAACTGCATTACCAACTAATGAGGTGTTGAGCTCTCGGGTGGGGTGTGAGGGGGAGGAGTGTCTGAATACCACACTTTCTTTAGAGCTCTTCTTTCAGAGTTTATCAAGGAGAACACTGAATTCTTGCAGAGTGCCAAGTCCTGCCAAGGGTGAGCTGTCAGGTGGTTGTACTGTTCCATTAGCAGATCTCAGAAAACCTTTTCTGCTAAAAGGGCAGGAAAGCCTGCAAAGACCATCCTTCCCGCATAAGAGTGAGGGATATAGCAGCCAGCAAAGAATCATAGAATCCTAGAATCACCAAGGTTGGAAAAGACCTAAAAGATCACCCAGTCCAACCGTTCACCTATTCCCAATAGCTCCCACTAAACCATGTCCCTCAACACAACATCCAGTCTTTCCTTGAACACCCCCAGGGTCGGTGACTCCACCACCTCCCTTGGGAGTCCATTCCAGTGCCTGACCACCTTTTCTGAAAAGTAATACTTCCTAATGTCCAGCCTGAATCTCCCCTGCCGTAGCTTGAACGTATCTGTGCCAGCATCCCTTGCTGTAGTTCATAGGTTGGTCAAACAAATGCTCTCTGCAGTGCGGAAGTATGGATGGTCTTGCTCTTCAAAGCCATATTCCAAGATAGCTGACGGCCTGTCCTGGAAATAAATTCAGATTTCCCCCTAACTATTTTGCAAAGTTGTAGCTAACTCTTCTAACTACATTTCTTTACCCATAGGAGAAATATGACTGGTGGTTGAACTTTATGGGAACTATTATCTCCAGTTTCATATGCACGCAGCTGTCCATATCACTGCATCACTACACAGCTTGTATAAAGGGAACAAGCATACTTCCAAAGAGGAAAGAATTAACATCAGCCTGTAATACTGTAATTCAAACAGGTGTATTAAAACATGGAAAGCATTACCATATTAAAATAGCTGCTAAATCTCTGTTTTTAAGTATATGTATGGAAATTAAGGGACAGCAGAAATAATTCTGAAGTATGTTGACTAGAAAACACCTTTGAAATAAAGTTCTTATCCAGTACACGTAGGCTTCACAACTTTTTTCTCTTCTTCTAGAGCATATATTTGACCTCTTTCACATCTTATAAGAGAGCTATAAAATCTATAATCTCATTTACTCTCTTAATAGACTGTCTTCAATTTTTTTTTTACCTGCTGACCTGCAGGATAAAGCTATTTAGAAGAGCTGTTATTGTGGAGAGCACTGCAAATGAAAATGCTGAAGGACAAAAAAATCCAATAAGGAGACTGGAAAATACATTTGGAAGGACACTGCTTAAGTTTAATGTATTCAATACGCATACTGTGAAACATCTGGTTGTCTTTAAGGTACAATCAGGTATTAACTTTGTAACCAGCTATTACAGCCAATAGTTCGCAGCAAGTTGCTTCATAGAAAGCAAATGATCTCCCTAAATGATCCCATAGCACTCAAGTCTTTGAATAAGAAGGTGATTCAGCACTGTATGACAGCTGTGTAATCTCTTCTTCCTAAGCAACTTGGAATTCCTATTCCTATTTGGAACAGGCTGCCCAGAGATGGTGGAATCACTGTCCCTGGAGGTGTTCAAGAGCCGTGGAGATGTGGCACGGAGGGACATGGTGTGTGGGCATGGTGGGCTGATGGTTGGACATGGTGGTCTTAGTGACCTTTTCCAACCTTAATGCTTCTACTCTTATGTCTTTTGTTTTGCAGTCCTTTAATTTTCAGTGTTTCATGTGCAGCCATGCATCCACATACACCAATACCACGTAAGTTTTATAAAGTAATCTTAGCCCTGCTGACATTGGTCCTGTAGGGCACAGTACAGTGGGTTACTATGCTGGTTAGCTGGTAGTAAAAAGTTACTTTTTCCTATCTCTAGAGAAAACAGCTACAGAAACCAGTCATATTTCATACTAGCATTTAAAGGGGTCCTAAAGCATAGATAGGGAAAAAGTCTTTATCAGGGAGAGCAGGGTTAAGAAAATGACTTCAAACTAAAAGAGGGGAGATTCAGGATAGATATGAGGGGAAATTCTTCACTTTGAGGGCACTGATGCCCTGGCACAGCTGCCCAGAGAGCTGTGGTACCCACCACTGGAGGAGCTTAAGGCCAGGCTGGATGGGCCCTGGGCAGCCTGAGCTGATGGGGGCAACCAGCCCATGGCAGGGGTTGGAGCTGGGTGGGCTTTGAGGTCCCCTCCAATCCAAGCCATTCTGTGACTGTGATTTCAGCATAAGATAGCAGATTGCCTCCTGCACCCAACGTTACAAGCGTTTCTGCTTGTACTAGAAGCAGAAGCCCAGGCCCTGAGGAAATATTCAATGCAAAGAAGCCCTCTAGCACAGTCTCTCGTTCCTCCCTGTCAGTAACGAGCTCTGGCTGTTCCTCACAAACCAAGGCTGCCGGACGCACTCCCAGCTCTCCCAGCTCAAACTCAGCCCAGCACGCTTCCCAGGCACGCTGAGGTAAGCCATGAAGCAGTGTGGTCCTCCTGCCTGCCCCCCTCATCCCTGCCACCTCGGGCTGAGCCAGCATGCACAGTGCCACACACTGAACCCCTGCAGAGACACAGAACTCTGGGCACAAACCCCTCTGACACCGAGGAGCCACCATGTCTTCAGTCTGGAGGAGGTTCAGGGGAGACCTTATTGCTCTCTGTAACCACCTGAAGGGACGTTGCAGTGAGCTGGGGGTCGGCCTCTTCTCTCGTGTAACTGGTGATAGCACTAGAGGGAATGGCTTCAGGCTGCGCCAGGGGAGATTCAGGCTGGATGTTAGGAAATACTGCTTTTCTGAAAGAGTGGTCAGGCGCTGTAATGGGCTGCCCAGGAAGGTGGTGGAGTCACCAATCCTGGAGGTGTTCAAGGAACGTTTGGATTCTGTATTGAGGGACATGGCGTAGAGAGAACTATTGGTGATGGGAGGATGGTTGGATTGGATGATCTTAGGTCTTTCCCAACCTTGATGTTTCTGTGATTCTGTCGAACACCCGCACTGCTGCCCAACCCCTGGGGAGAGGCTGCGCGGTGCAAGGTACGGCGCCACAGCGCATGCGCACCGCCAGCCTTCACGTAGCGTCTCGGCGAGCGAGAAGTGGAGAGCAGGGAATTGCGCGTGCGCAGAGCCCGAGACTCGCCGGGCCTCTCGGTTTCCCGCCGCGCTCGCTCTGATTGGTTGCTGGCTGTGTCGCGGGAGGTGGGAGCTGTGGGCCGTTGGGCCCTGAGGCGGTGTGGGGCTGTGCCGTACTGTGCCTTTCTTTTCTTTTTTTCTTCTCGTCGGTTCTCTCCAGCCGTCTTGTCCCCGGCTCCAGGTGATCAGGGAGGGCTCCGGGCAGGGCTCTCTAACGGGGGGTGGTTCTCCCATTAATCCTGACGTTTTTCGGCCCTGGAGGAGGGTTGGTGTGAGGGGCTGAGGGGCGGGAGGCGTTCGCGAGCAGCCTGCCTTAGTTCGGTTTGCTGCGTGCTTCCCCGCTGCTTTCTGCCCAGTCAGGGCTGTGCTGGTGGGTTGGTCAGCAGAGGGTGAACGTTCCCGTCAGTGTCCCTTTACTTTTTGTTGCTGTGTGACAAAAGGCAGCAGAGGGGCAGTCTGACAAAATGGTGTCTGATATGGAAGTGTGGATGAAGCAGAGGTGTGTCACTGAATTCCTCCATGTGGAAAATATGGCACCCATGGGCATTCATTGGTGCTTGCTGAACCTTTTATGGAGATCAAACAGTAGATGCCAGCACAGTGAGGCATTGGTTGGTGCATTTCAGCAGTGGCAACACTGGGTCACCTCTACTCGCGCGGGTTTTTATGAGCGTGGCATGCAGGCTCTTGTTGATCACTGATGAAAATACACAGTTAATGGTGGTGATTGTGTTGAAAAATAGTGTTTTGTAGATGAGAGTTTGCTCTATCAAATTGCGCTTTTTGTACTGATTGTAGTTTCTGTGGAAATAACAGGAGGCGTTATTTTTGGAGCAACTTATGTGTATGCAGTTCAATTCCTCTTTACTCATTGAGGCCCAGGCAAAGCCAGAGAGTTGGAGACCCATGGGCTGGGGGCTGATCTGCTGGAAGAGGGCTCTGAGGAGAAGGATCTGGGTGTCCTGGTGAGCCATGAGCCATCACTGTGCGCTGGTGGCCAAGGCAAATGTGTCCTAGGGTACATCAAAAAGAGCTTGGCCAGTTGAGGGAGGTAATCCTTACCTTTTACTCTGCCTTGGTGAGGCCACATTTGGAGAGGTATCCAGTGCTGGGCTCCCCAGTTCAAGAAAGGCAGAGATAATTTAGAGTCCAGAGGAAGGCTGCAAAGGTGAAAATGGGCCTGGAGCGTGTCCTGTATGAGGAAAGGCTGAACAATCTGGGGCTGTTCTGCCTGAAGAAGGCTGAGAGGAGATTTTATCACTGTTTATAAATACCTAAAGAGCAGGAGTCAAGTGGATGGGGTGAGGCTCTTTGCAGTGGTGCTTGGTAACAGGACAAGGGGAAATGGGCTAAAGCTGGAACACAGGAAGTTCCAGGTAAACGTGAAGAATTTTAGTTTGAGGGTGATGGAGCAGTAGAACAGGCTGCCCAGGTGGTGGAGTCTCCTTTTCTGCAGATATTCATGACTTGTCTGGACACTTCACTGTGCAAACTGCTCTAGGGAACCTGCTTTAGCAGTGAGGTGGAATCAGTGATCTCCAGAGGTCCCTTCTAACTCCTGTGATTCTGTGAAACTTCTGATTTGTTCCTCAGCAGCTGAATAAGGGACAGCTGGCAGGAACCACAAACTTTTGTCCCTTTTTATCCTGTACTGAACTTGAAAACTTTGGGCTGCAGTCGGCTATGTGAACAGTCTTTGATTCTTACATCTCGCTATTGTTATGCTAATAATTCAGTATAAGTCAATATAAGATGTGACCTGGAACGGGCTGCCCAGGGAGGTTGTGGATGCCCCGTCCTTGGACGTGTTCAAGGCCAGGTTGGACGGGGTCCTGGGCAACCTGATCTGAATGTGTGTGTTTGGTGGCCCTGCTAGGCAGGGGGGTTGGAACTACATGATCCTTGAGGTCCCTTCCAACCCAGGTGATTCTGTGATTCTGTGACCAGCCCACTTTAACTGTGTGGTGAGGGTTGTGATAACTTGGCTTCCAAGGAGTGGAATGGTGCTTGTTATTCACTTTCAGGTGTGACTTTTTAATGCATGGTGTAGTTTGTGAAAGTAATACTGTTGCAGCATTTGCTACATAGAGTCACTGAACCAAAGGAGCTGGAAGGGACTTTTGGGGATCATGAAGTCCAGCTCCCCTTGTAAAGCAGGTTCCCTATGGGAGATTGTGTGACAGAATAGTTCATGGAACTGCTGTTTGTGGCTGGCAGAGCTGTTGGATGCAAATGGAACAGGCATGAACAGTTGTAGCTCATATTCTTAGTACCCCGATAGTTTTGTAAGATTATGGTAATATATTGTTTGTTTTTTTTCCTACCTTATAGCTATCTTAACTTGTGTCACTTATACCCAAATCTCTATTTTCTCTGTTATCCTTTAGAAATCGGTTATTTTGTGTTTCTGAAGATGAAGAGGAAAGCATCAAAAGTTGGGAAACTGAGGCTTAGTCCTAATGAAGAAACCATGCTTCTGAAAGAGGAATATGAAAGAAGAAGAAAGCTGAGGCTGCAGCAAGTATGCTTCCATTTTTGCAAGTTGTCTGTTTCAAAATGGAAAAGTTTTATTTCATATAAGCTAGCTTCTTCACTGTAATAATATTAGGCTTAGATTTAGCTTATGAATTATTTTCCATTGCCACGTTTATTTACAAGTATGTGTATATTTCTATTGTGGGTACCTTCTCAGTTTGTTACATTCACGTGGGCCTCTGTTCCAGAACTACTGCTTCCGTGACAACTGCACTGTGGTTTTGTGTCTGTGTTTGTTGGCAGTCAGCATGCAGATCTCTCTTCTTCTGACGTTTCACATAGCGGAGCACAAATAAGCCAGCTGAGGCAAATCCAGACCTGAACAGCTTTCCACTTGATCAACTGTTATGATTTGTTATGATTAGCTGGCGACCTGTTTCAAGTGGTGTCCCCTAGGGGTCGGTGCTGGGGCCCATCCTGTTTAATATCTTCATTGATGACTTAGATGAAGGGATTGAGTGTATCCTGAGTAAGTCTGCAGATGACACCAAGTTGGGAGGTGGTGTCGATCTGCCTGAAGGTAGGGAGGCCCTGCAGAGGGATCTAGATAAGCTGGATCGCTGAGCCGAGGTGAATGGGATGAGGTTCAACAAGGCCAAGTGCCGGGTCCTGCACTTTGGCCACAACAACCCCAGCAGTGCTACAGGCTTGGGGATGAGTGGCTGGGTGAGTGTGAAGAGGAAAGGGACCTGGGGGTGCTGGTTGATGCTCGGCTGAACATGAGCTGACAGTGTGCCCAGGTGGCCAAGAGGGCCAACAGCATCCTGGCCTGCGTTAGAAATGGTGTGGCCAGCAGGAGCAGGGAGGTGATCATCCCCCTGTACTCAGCACTGGTGAGGCTGCACCTCGAGTACTGTGTTCAGTTTTGGGCCCCTCACTACAAGAAAGACATTGAGGCCCTGCAACGTGTCCAGAGAAGGGCAAAGAAACTGGTGAGGGGTCTGGAGCACAAGACTTACGAGGAGAGGCTGAGGGAGCTGGGATTGATTGTTCAGCCTGGAGAAGAGGAGGCTCAGGGGAGACCTCGTTGCACTCCACAACTTTCTGAAGGGAGGTTGTGGTGTGAAAGGGTCTGGCCTCTTCTCCCAGGCAAATAGTAGGACCCAAGGAAACGGCCAGAAGTTATACCAGAGGAGGTTGGACATTAGGAGAAACTTTTTCTGTCAGAGGGTGGTCAGGCACTGGAATGGCTGCCCAGGGAGGTGGTGGAGTTGCCGTCCCTGGCAGTGTTCAAGAGGTGCTTGGATGAGGAGCTACGAGACCTGATTTAGTAGCTTGTGGTAGTGGGAGTGGGAGGGTGGTTGGACCAGATGATCTTGCAGGTCGTTTCCAACCTTGTGATTCTATGATTCTATGATGTCACAGTTCTTGATGCTTTAAATATTGCTCCTTTTAGAATTGAATGCCTGTTCATTGTCTTATTTTCTTCATTTTTGTTATGCTGTGCTGCTGTAAGGGCACAGGGCTATTTCCTTTCTTAAAAATATATTTCTTTCCTTCCCCAGCCTTCCTCTGCTGTCCTGTACAAGCTGTCTCAGTCTTTCCTACCTTCAAAAATCATATACACTAACATTATCTAAGATGACTTTTCTTGCATGTACTCCAGAGAAGAGAGTTTTACTGACAAAGGTGGAGAACAAACTTAGTAAACAAGCTTGAATTGGGCAGTACAGTTCTGAGTTTCTTTAGAGTGCGTTGTGTTGTGTGAAGTCTTTAAATTATTGCATTGTACTTTGAGTATGAAGGCTGTACCAGGCAGTTTTTGCATTTTGTATGTCTGTTGTTTGTTCACTTTATGCTCTTAATGAAGATTAAATTTAGAATACATTATTCATTTTGGAAAAGGCTAATAGCACGTTTAAGTCATTTTCTGGATAGATTTTTAATGTAAAAGTAAATAAGTGGAAGGATACAAAAGTGGGGTGTGTTGTGGAAATACTTGTTAAAAAACATACTGCACCCTTTAATGTTACTGACAAGACACGACTTCTGTTTCTGCAGGTTAGAGAGCAACAGAAGTATATATCCTTGCAGATAAGACAGAAAGTAAAGCAGAGGAGGGAAGAGAAGCTACATCAATTAGAGGAGGCACTGAGAGCTGAATGGCAGAAAGCACAAGAGGAGAAGATGAAGGCTTTAGAAAAACTGTTTTTATCAAGCTTAAGAGCTGTTGGTGAGGGTCACCGACAAGCCAAGGAGAATGTAAGTAAACAGCTTGATGTTGTTGTCATAGAAATACTCAATGTTCTAGAAGTACTGAGATTGCCTGTTTCTTGGTTGGTTTGTTGTTTTTTGTTTGTTTGTTTTAATATTCCTGGTCTTCGAGTCTGAGGAGTGAAGAATGGAATGTTTACTTTGGCAGATATTTATCCATGAGGCTGTGCTTGGTGAGAAGGAATGTGACTTTCTGTTGGGAAAGATTTAGAGCAACACTGCTGCTGGTGGGAGATCCTTATTCTCTGTTTGGGCGTAGATAACCCATTGAATTACTTTTAGAAGCCTGTTGGAGTCTGTAGGTTTTGTGTATATTTTTTCCAGGGGTTTTGTACAACTTTCTGTGTTTGGAAAATGAAATGTCCCAGCAAACCAATCTGCTGCAGCTTTTGCTGTGCAATCTCCTGAATTATGTGTATGTGATCTAACCTTTGTTAGCATGGCAGTGCATGTTAGATAACCGTGGTACTTGACTGCAGTGCACGTGGTGAGTTGTTGTCTCAGATGTGCCACTCACTGCCTAACCTGTCTTTACCATCTCGCAGTTTCCTTTCTATGCGTAAGAAGTCAAATTCCATTTTTTTTTATTCACTTCTTTAGACCTCCAGCCATAAGTACTGTTAAGGGCTTCAGAGGCTTTTGCACAGGCTGCAGACTGTGTTGCTTTTCCATTCTGCAGCTGTGAACTAAACTGTCTTTGTTTCAAAATTCTGTGTAGACTCAGTTTGAGGGACTGCTGAGGTGGCTGGGTGAAAAATCCATAGATTTACACTGATACGTAATTGTTTTAGTTAATGGCCAAGAGGCAGTAAGGTGCTTTATCTTCACAGATTAATCAGCATTACTAAGATGTGCAGGTATGTTTATATTACTGTTGTTACGAGGAGATTAAGAGAGATGCTAAGATTTCCAAATCAGTATTTGGTTACATTGGCTGAGGCAAATTTTCTGCTGTTGGCAGCAGACAAAAGGAGAATAGAGAAGATAGCAGAGGAGAAAAAGTGATTACTGAGAGAATTTTTACTCTAATATGGTGGGGAAGAATTTCAGGTTTCTGGTTCCTACTAAAGTATTTAATTTTGAACTTGATACTGATAGTATGAGAAGTAAATAAAATTGTGTGTTAAATGCTTGCAATATCCTTATTGTTAAGGAACCTGATTTAGAAGCTCTGGCAAAGCAAGCAGAGGAAAGGAAGCAAAGAGCAGAGAAGAGACATAAGAAAGCACTGAAAGAGCAGAAGTTGCAGAAAGAGAAATTGCTTCGTGAACAAGCCCGGTATGCAGCAGTTGTTTAGTTTCATGAAGCACAGAGTGTATTTCAATGGTGTTACATGGTGAAAGGCAAAATTCCTAATGTTTGGAGCTGTTCAGTTTTGAAATATTATGGATTATTGTGTTCAAGTGTGGTTGTGGACAGACTTTTAAGTTTTGATAACATTTGTAGTTTTACATCCAAGACTGAAGTGCCAGCTATACCAGCAGACCTGATCCGCTCTTGGAGGCCAGGCAGCCCTTCAGCTCACTGTGTGCCCGCGGTTGGCAGGCAGCTGTCCAGTGACACGCAGCCTGTGTGCTCAGGTCGGTCACCATGGGAAGTTACTCACCTGAAAAAAGGACCTGTTGCATTTGACACAGCCCAAACCTGAGCTGGCATGACAAGTGAACCCCAAGAATGTATTCCTGGGGATAGCTGAGCTTGAGTAGAGCTGACCTACTGATTCAATGCTTAGCTTTGTTGAGCAATTAAAATATGTGGCAGCGATGTGGGGTGTTCTGAAAACAGAAGTGAAAAGTGCGATTTGGCTTTGATCTCAAGAAACATGTATGTTACTGACATTTTTGCATTACTTCACAAGGTTAATTTTTCAGTGCTGTCTTTGAGATCTGTTGACTTTGCTGTATGCTTGCTTATTCTTGGCAGTTAAATGGAATGATTGATAAAGATTTTTGGTTTGCTTTTTATTCTGCTCAGTGCTGTCATTGGTTCTTAAATCATTTTCTTTCTCTCTTCCTTTATTTGCAAGACGAATAGATGCACGTAAGCACGCCCTGGATGTGGAAAGAGAAAGAGCAGCCAGAGTTGCAAACCTGCCACCTCCTCCTCCACATCCTCTTGAGGTGTGTATCTGTGATGGTGTAGTGCATCATTGCAGGATACCATATCAATACAGTGCTCCATTGCTCTGACTCCTCACAGTGGGATATCTGAAATTGCTGTTTTCATACTGCGAGGAGAGTGGTTTGGTGATAATCAAGAAAGTCAATGAATTATGTATTAACAGACCTCCAATCTTCAGTACTTGTTCTGGTTTCTTATCTCTTGTTCGTGTGGATTTTATTTCTCGTAGTCAGGAGATGTCTTTATGGCTGATGTGTGCTTTGAATATCATTGTAATTTTGTTTTCATTTAAAAGTTGTGGTGACTCTGTAATTTATCCCAGTATGCACATACTGCCTCACTTGTCTGTCATGGTGATGAGTGTCATGGACTCGTAGGATGGCTTGGGTTGGAAGGGACCTTAAGGATCGTGCTGGCAGGGTTGCCACCTGCTAGATCAGGCTGCTCAGCAGTAAGCATTGTGTTTTGTTTTCTTCTGCCTTATTTGCTGTGTTTATTATTGTCTTTCTTCTGTTTCTTGCAGGGAATACAAAAAGTATGGTAAGCTGTTGAATTTTGATAGAAAAATAATAACTCGGGGCTAAAAGCAGTGGTTTTATTCTGTGCTGTACCTTTTAGGGGAATGACTTTGCGTCTCCTTCATGCTTCTTTTGAGTTCAAATATATTCTGAATACGTGTAGAAGTCACAGTAGAACTGCAGATCTGAACTACGGAAAAAACATGCTGTGCTTTTTCATTGTGTAGTTAACTTTTGAGGTAAATTTACTAACAGAACTCTTAGAATACAGAATTCGTTAATACAGAGTTTGTTGCCTAACACATTGTGACCTTTCAGACCATCACATTCAGTAATATTCAGACCACAGACAAGAAAATAAAGAATTTGGGTATTTACTGAGGAAAGACTAATCTAGTCTCTCTCAGAGCCACTGCAATGAGAGCTTTTTCCCAGCTCCACTCAGCACACGAGGTATAGGTTTGTGTCTTGAAAGATAGGGAACTGATGCATCTGGAGAAACTGAGTAAGGACTGATCCTCACTGTTTTCAGAATGATTAAAGGAAGGGATACTTACATACCTTTATTTGTACCCTTTACTGCATACTCCTGTGCAGATCTTATTTGCTGTCCAGCATTTTCTTACTGTAAAAGTTGACTGTGTGTGGGTTAAAGCAAGTGTTGGAGTGATAGAAAGTGTCTGGGGTTATTCCTTGTGGAATTACCTCATTTCTTTCCCACTGAAAGCATTGGTCTGAGCCAAATAAGAGGAGATCTGGTTGCTCAGTGTTCAGAATGTCTTTCAGATAAGAGTTGACATGTGGTTGTATTCCTAAAACATTAAAAAAATCTTGGTGCTGTTTGTGTGAACACTTTTCAATGAGGTTATGGAAAATGCTCTTTCTCCTGGCTGTCTAACAAACTGAACGTAATGGACTGAGTTCTATATACAGAGTCTGTACTTGAGAAAGGCTGTTTTACCATTATGTGTAATGATATTGTGGGTCTGAGGTTGCCCTGTATGCAGGTGGACGTGGCAGCTGTTGCGTGGGGTTTGTGTTGGAGCATTAAAGCCCAAGCACTTCTGAACTAAGCTGATGCTCTTGAAGGAGGAAGGCGCAGCTCCGTGATGAATGCCAACGTCTGTGGAGGAGTTTGCTGCGTGCTGATAGATGCTCTCAGTTATTAAGCTTTCTAAGTATTCTTTATGCTGATATGGTTTTTTTAAATTATTAAATGTATGTAAGGAGTGAAATGACAATGTTTTCTGGAGATAATTTTCTGTTTTTTAATTTTTTGCTTTTGTTTGACACTAATTTAAAAAGTGCGGAGCTCATTTCTCTTTCATTTAGCTGCTTTGCCAGAGGAAGCTGTTCTTTATGGCTTATCTGTACTTTTCTTTCTAGAATCTGGAAGTGAAGAAGATTGCTGCCATGAAGGCCCACGGTGCTGGCAAATTTTCTGTTACACGTTACCACATTTCAGAACCTTATGCAGACAGAGAAATGGATGCACAACAGGTGATTAACTCCCCAGTGTTTGTGATATACACTGCCACCTTTCTTTCTTTGTACTGCGTTCCGTATCTGGATATCACCTTAGCAATTAGGCTTCCATTTTAAGGCCTATGCTAAGTTAATTGTTGTCCTTGCCCTGCTTTTTCCTCTTCTCCTCTTTTAGCTGTGTACTCGCATTCTTTGCTTCACATTCGTGCTCAGATGTTCATGCATTCAACAGCTTTAACTTGGCAAAATCTGATTTGGGGAAAAGAATCTTGAATAGAGCTTTGCCAAATGAAAAGGTTTACTCAGGTTTACAGTACAATCCCAGACCAAAGTTAGATCAGAAGAGGAGAAGCTGGAAAAGTAAAAGATGGAGTAAGAACTCAGCTTTTAGGGGTGGTGATCTGTTGTTTGGCTTATCTGTGATGTGAGACCACAGTCTCAATTCCTGTTTGCTATCACCTTTGTTTAGATGGAGTTCTCTGGAGACTCATGAATTTTTGAGCATTCTCTCCAGTGGCGTTGTTCTTGTTCATGAGTTTTAAGACTAAATGATAAGAGCAGGTGCTTTAGTCTGAACTCTTGGAATTTTTGGAAAGCTCCAGAATGTTTATCTTTATAGCCTTGATTATTTGAAATTATTTTATTTTTTTTGATTTTCAGGTGTTACTGAGTTTGTACTTAAAACTTGCAGATTTTTTTCTGGTTTCTCAAATGAAAATGGAAACATTTCTGATCTTATTTAAAACCTTTAAACATACAGGTAGTGAATTTGTAATACTGATGGCATTATTTGTTTTTACCTGGTACTGTGGGAAAAATAATCACTGCAGTAAAAGATGGATGAATGATTGTCTCTATGGAGTTTGGAACTAGAATACTTTGATTCCTAACCCTTCTAAAATGTGCATGTTTGCTTTTTTTTTTTTTTCATTTGTATGAATATTGTTTGGTCCTGCTTGCAACTGAATGCTGTAAAGCCTTTGAAGGTGGTTCGTAGTGTGCTGTATGCTTTTTCTCTAAATCCCAAGTGTTTTTGCTACAGAATTACTCACTTAATGTTAAGTACACTTTAAACTACCAGAAGAACTCAGTGGACTAAACTAGTAATTGTCTGCCAGCCAGATGCTCGGTTGGCAGCCGAAGAGGAGGTGAAGCATTTGAAGGAGCTACACGAAGAGGCAGAGAGGGAGAGAAAAGAGCAGCTTGAAAAGGCGCATCTCAGAGGAAGTCATGCCCTGAAGAAGCTCCATTTGGCTCAGGTAGGCAAAGCAGACATCTAATGTCAGGTACCAGCACCTGTTTTTTTACTGCCAAAATGAGCAATGTTAAGAAAGCTGCAGGTCGGTATTTGCCAGAGCGGCTGCGGTTTCAAGAGGAAGATGTTTGGACTTAACAGGGTTTTCAGAATGCTTTCAAAACATGATCAAACTCAACTTGCTTATTTTAGCTGTCTGGAAGACTATAGGGTGATCTTTCACTAAGATAAATTGGAAATATATTTGGATGCAGAATAGACACTACAAGTCAGCTTTTCTTGGGCCATAGCTCTTCGTACCATTACAGTGTCTTTATTTGAAGTATTTGCTGTTTGTTTACATGCCGGCTGAGGTCAGGGGAATCCTCTGTGTCAGTTCAGTGGGAACTAGAAATTGAATTCTTGACTTTTAAATACATGATAGCATTGAAAAAAACACATTTCACATTTCAAGAACCTTGACAAAGTTGCTCTGCACTTCGTGACTTTTAGCTATGCCTGACTTTTTTGGTATAAAGGTGCTTCTGAGCTGAAATGCCTCATGAGTTAAGTGCTTGAAGTATTTGGATAATGAATCACAGAACTGGAAGAACACTGGTTTGAGTCCTCATTTCATCAACTGTTCCTACTGCCATTGTTTAAAAGCTTGTTTATGTTATAGCTATGTGAGATTGAGGAGAAAGCGTGTAATGATTTTGAATTATGTCCAGAATGATGGGTATCATTCTTCAAAGCACCTCTGAGAATGTCAGCCACCCTAAATCTCACTAATATCCTTTGAGAAAATTGGAATCTATAGACTCATTTTCAGTCCTTCTCCCTCCCTTACATTTTACAGTTCACTTTACATTTTAAAATAGTATTTAATGTATTCATTCAGGGTTTGGTGCTTCTCTCAGCCTTTCCTCACCTTTGCATCCTGTTCAGACAAGAGGTGTAAGGACCTTTTGCTACCCAATACAGTGGGAGGTGTGGATAACATGAACTTAATTCTCCCTCAGCTGCAAGGGCTGCTGAATAATGCTGTCTGCAGCACCAGCTGTGACCTGTTAGGAGAACTGCTTCTGCAATGAGAAGGCAAACACTCACATATAAATATGCACTTCTTGCAGAGCCTGCTTGTGAATTCTTGAGCTGCTTGCTTTTTTCTTTTTTGTTATTGATGTGAGCAGGTACAAATGTTCACAGTCTGTTTTCAAATCCACACTTGGATTCAGATGGGGTCTTTGCAGTACTCTTGCTATTAATCTGTTGCTGGCATAAAACCTGTTTCATTAAATGTGTACGTATGAGAGAAACTGTTAAATACGTGATTATATGCATGGTTCAGTATGTGGACATAACTTTTTGTTGTCAAATTCTACCCGAAGCTGACAAAAACCTTTAAGCTTCGTCGTGACTTCCTCATGGGATGTATCGAAGTATCTCAGATTCTCAGATTGTTTCTTCTTATTAAGAAGACGACTTCTTAAATTTTCAGCATTTTAACTTATAATGAATTTTTCCCCTTAACAAATTATAGATAAAACTTCAAAAATAGAAGATAGTTTTAATGTGACATTGAGCATCAAGAGTATTGGCTTGCTTAAAAGTAACAGTTACTGAAGTACAGACTAAAAAGTAGCTTATTAATGGAAGTACTCCTTTACTTTATACAACAGAAGAGTTAGTTCTGTTTAGGGAAGCCAGCCTGCAGTGTACCATCCCATACTTCGTTTTTTGCCAGATCTTCTAGGTTGGAAACGCTCTCATGTTTAAAGGTCAGGTATAGTCTTCTCCCAAGGAAGCACCTGCTTCCAAGAATAAGATTAATTTAATTCTAAACTCTTCAAGTTAACTTCATGGTAACCAAGTGGAAGTGTTTTATCAATCCTGACATACTGCTGTCTGAAAGTTAATGCTGAGTGCTCATCACCCCTTTACTTGAAGGATAGGGAAAGGCTACTGAAGGAACTGGAACAAATGCAGAGAATGGATCGAATGCGCAGAAGACAGATGGTAGCACAGATGCCACCTCAACTTTTTGTACCTGGATACAAACGCATGGAAATAAAAGAAGAGTGGCAGAAAGAATTGGAGTTTGCCTTTGAAGATATGTACAGTGAGGACAGAAGTGAGTAACCCATGGGAGGATGCTGAAATTCTGGCTGCCCAGAGATGCTGCTGCAGCCACGTGTTCCCAGGTGCAGCAAGTAGTGAGGCTGCACATTTTTTCCTGGTGGTATGCACACAAACAGTACGGATTGCTTCATCCTGTTTCCTGCTCTGTATGGGGCTGTGGGAAATACATCTGTACAGCACTGATCCCTCCAGCAGTTAGTTCTAGACACTGTCGACCCAGTAGCTGGTCCCTGCATCCCAGACCCACCCAGTTGCTGGCATCTGAACTTAGAAGATGCTGAGGCTCACAGCCCTACTCCAGCTTCTTGTGCTTAGACACCCTTGCTTACAGATATGCATGCACATACCTTATAGCACTCTCAGCACAGAATGGATACTCCACTACTTAAAGTTAGATGCTCATTCTGTCCAGTAGCTGATCACAGGCCTTGTAGCCTTCCGTTTACTCTGCAGTGTCCATAGATGCACCGCTGTGCTCAGTAGGTGCTATGGATCTCTCGGTAAGGTGGCTTTAAGTGCTCTTTCTACCCTGCTGGTGCTGGCTCCTTGGGCTCCCGAGTAGCTGCTTCTGGACATGTGAACTGCTGCTTCACTCCAGCTCTTGCTGTGCAGACATCACTGTTGTGCAAGCACGCATACGTTATCAATGCCAGCAGTAAGTGACCTTGGATCCTCTCGTCTCTAGTTCTGTCAAAGCCATGTATGGACTTATGCCAGCAAGTTCTTGGTTGAGCTTGTGACCCCACCATCCCCGTGTAGCTGGCAGGGATCTCCTGATCCTCCAGTGGCCAGCAGGCAGACCCTCTGGTCTCTCTGGTATCTGGCCCAGTCTTATGGCTGCTTTGATACTTGGCTTCCAAGCCCCTCGTTATTCTCAAGGACTAATCTGGCTTGCTATTTGCTAATCCTTGCATACTAATACGTATGTTTTGGTTCTGCTCTGGTCTCTGCTGCAGTTGCTGCCTGTTATGCACCCATACGCATGCATACAAAGTAGAGGGTTCCTCACTCACAAAAAATGGAATTTAGCGAAAAGACAGGTCAGAGCCTGTGCACCATCTGGCCTTTTCTAAAATTTATATATGTTTACTCCTCTGTTTCTACCCCAAAACTTGTTTCTTCTCAGTCTAACTTGATTCTTCCCTTTCTCCACCTTTGATTCTTTCCCTACATGTCCACAAGTCCACAACCCATTTATCTCTCTTAGGCAGTAGCCCCCTCAATCTGTACAGTGATCCTCAGAAAGCCTCTCTCATGGATTCATCTTCTGGGATTTTGCACCTGGACGATGGGATCAATGTCTGTCCCATGACAGCACTGTGAGCAGCCAGCTTAGGGTGCTTCTTTTCTCTGAAGAGGTTACTGGGCTCCACCTCTATTTACTGCTCTGCTTTTTGTGTGGAGGTAGAACTTTTACTTTATATCCTCTTACTTTGAATGACCTTGTTAGGGGAAATGACCTTGTTTTATGGGAAACCACAGGTCTGAATTAAAAAGATGGCTAATCTAAATGGCTTCAATTTTGAAAGTCTTCTGTTCTGGGGAGAAAAATAGTTGGAGTAAAACTGTTGTGAAACAAACTGTTGGTATTTTAACTTCTTAGGAACTTGTATAACTTGTGGTGTTTGCATTTTATTCTAATTAGTCACTTTTCTGTGTTTGTGTTCCTTTAATTAGAAATGAAAGGAGACTTGATTTTGCAGTTTGAACCACAGCCTTTGCCATCCCCTTCTGATAGATCTCAAGATAATGATCTCGATCTCTCTTTGGAGCAAGAATCTGTTTGTGACACTCAACAAGAATTGGAGCAGATGGTGGAGGAGAAGCTCCCTGCTGAATCAGAAAGTAAACTTCTAAACTCAGTCTTTCTTGTTTTACAGCAGAAGAGGTTGTGTGTTAGTATTAACTAAAATGTCTAAGTACTAAAATTCCATAATGAATATGAAGTGTTTTAAAGTTAAGTGATTTATGATGCTTACCACTGATGATGAATATTCTGACATACAAGTTTGAAGTAGAAATTACTTTTTCTAATACACTTCAGTTCATTAGAATACTGAGATTATAATAGCTGCAAGAACAGTAATGTTAGCTGTAGTGTTTTCTATACAACTATTGCAAATGATGAGATGGCACAGGTATATGAGATATTAGCCAAGTGAATAGTGAAATTTGCTTTAGCTTGACTTCATGCGAAAGTCTACTTACTGTGTACATCCTTTATGCTCTGTGTTGTGCTCGAGTTGCTTCATTTTGTGCGTAGGCCACACTAGTGGCACGTGTGCATGGCATGAGCAGAATAACTGAACAAGAGATGTGCTACTGAATATTGCTGCACGGCGAGCATTTCTGCCACGTCGCTTTGTTGGCACTCAACATTTCTGGGGCTGTGATGCATTCATTGTGTTGCCAGTTCTACTACAAAGGGAGGGCAGGGAAGTACAAGTATTGCTGCTGGTTTCTGCAGCAGTGTAGTCTGTAAGGAATCTGGTTCTGAAATGCTGCAACCCTCTTGTTATTGCATCCTGAGACACATTGCTGCTTCTGTCTTGCAAGGAGGAGAAGATACTTAAGCTTTGAGACTTGATAATGTAGTTAGTTATTCAGCTGTGTAAGCAATTAAAAGAAGGTGTATGTTGTGTTTTTTGTTCTTTTCTGTAACATGAAGATAATCATTACCTAAATCTCTTAAAGGTTTATGTTATTTGTAGGTCATAAAGAGGTAAAAACTCATCAACCTCAATCAAAACTTGCCTTGAAGAAATTGCTGAACAAGATTAGAAACCAAAAAGAGGAGTGGATATCAAAAAGTGAGAAAGAGTTTCCAAGCAAGATTGAGACTATTGAATCAGGCACTATTGCTGGCAAAGAGACACGGCAGGTTGATTTAGATCTGAATGATGAGCAACACAAAAATGCTGAATGTGAAGCCACAGGTATGGAATACGTGCTCACATTGACATTGTTATGTAGGAGAAGTCCATAGGGTGGACTGTAACAATTGTTTTAAATCTGAATGAATCTTTCAGTGGTGGTGTTTCATTGTGCTGCCAAAAAGTAAATCCAGTTCTCTCATCTCTGCCTTTCGTCTTCCTCATAAAGATCTCTCTGAAGAAAGAAGTCTAAAGTACTTCTATATTATAAATCTCACCCAAATTTTGGTCAGACTTCATGCTGCTGTATTTTAAAAGCTGTTTACCTATGGGGGCAGAAGTTGTGGGGCAAAATTGGTTGTGGGAGTTTTTTACCTGTTGAACTGGAAAAGCTGAGTTATGAGATTCACAGCTAGAAATGATTGACAGGCATGAGCTGACGTGTCTGTAGTGAGGGATTTTTCCTGGACTTAACGCACCATTCCAAAAAGTCTCAGTATAAAACTGGATCTTACAACAGTCAAACATCCCATTTTGTTTGGTAGCTCCTCTTGGTTTGGAGTTTCCCGCCCTGTGTTGCTATTTTAGTTACGTAAGTGCTGAAGGTGATGAATGTGCATGAAGATTTGATTTTTGTGCTTTTGTATTTGCCTTGAGAGTGCTGGCTTTAGATCCTCCTTTTGTTCTTAGAGGTTAAGGCTTTTTTTTTCCTATACCTGAGGAGGATGATTTTGCTATCAGGCTACCAAGTGATTTAGAAAACAACCAGTGCTGAATCCAGCTAGAACTGAGCCACTGCTCATTGCTGAGCCTTTCACCAGGCTGGATGTGGCTCTGGGCAGCTAGGCCTGGTGATTGGTGACCCTGCACATAACAGGGGGTTGAAACTTGATGATCTTTGTGGTCCTTTTCAATCCAGACCATTCTGTGATTCGGTGATTTCTTTATAGTCGAGAATGGCACGTGATAAAGGGCCATTAATGACTTAAATAATGCAAAACCTGATCTTTCCAGCTCACGGAGATGAGCTGAGGGGATGGAGATGGTCATCTTGTCAAGGCTGCCTGCTTGTGCGTTTTTCCTTTTGAGAGCTTGGGAAACTAAAGCAAGATGTAAACAAGATATGAAGCTTTTTCTGGGTGCATTTATAGTGCAATAATATGTATTTTAGAGTCTGACGAGATGTTGGAACATAGAGTTGCACTTGAAAATTCAGTTCTAATCCATCCTCAAGAACAAGCAGCTAAAATTAGAATGGAAAATGAGAGACAGCAGTGGGTAAGTGTGAGTGAATATACTTTTTTGTCTCAGTTATGATGTAAAATGAAGTGATTTACAGAAGGTAATAAAGGTGATAAAATGCTTCAGGTTCTAAAGCTGCAACAGACACGTTCAGCATACTGTTAACATTTTAAAGGAACTTTTACTGCAGCATTATCTGTACTTGGCCTTTGTGTAGTAGCTTTTATTTTATAGCAATTAGCGAATGCTGGCTGGAATGTACAATAGTGTGGAGAAAAATTCTTTTGTAAAATTTAACAGCTACTGCAGGCAAAGGATTCTATGCCATGATTAAGTAAGAATTCCAGTTGTCAGGTAGCACCTTTTTGGCTTAAGGAAAAGGTCATCATCAGTATGGAACTGTGAAGATTTTACTAGCCCTGTGCAATCGTACCTGAAAGTCTGTAGGATTGCACAGTGACAGAAAAAGCTTGCAAACCTTGAGTATTTTGTCTCTCAGTTTATAAAATCAAATGCAGAATGTCTTCTGCTATCTATATGAACACTTTGTTAATGACATGTGCATTATGTATCTATATTATACGTATTTAATTATATTTTTACTGTATCTTAGATAAAGACCAGCCAGCTGTTATGTGGTGGTTTATTAATTAAAAAAAAAAAAAAAAAATTCAGGTCCCACTGAAACCTTAAGCTGTAGTTTTAAAGTACAGAAATTCAGGAAATAAATTTCACGGAGTAATATTTCAGTGAGGAGGAGAACAAGAGGCAGCTGGTCTCCTATGGAAGTGTGGTTACTTTCTTTAACATGTTTTCTCCCACTTAACATGTGTCCAGATGTATATATTTCTATGTTTCCATTTCTGTTAACTGCTCCCAGCTTCTCCTTGGGCTCCCTTCATTACTGCTTAGAAATTTTTCTTCACTTCCATTCTAAGAGTGTACGTGCTGTTACTTTGTGTGGCTGTGAGTGATTCGTAGATGAAAGATACTTGGAAAAATAAACAAAACACTTGAGAGATTTCTGGAGTGCTCTAAAAGTGGTGGGACGTGAGCCATTTCAGAAGTTGGGTAAGATTTGAATTAGCATTTAAATGCGTTGAACTTCTGATGAGAAGTTCTGTAAAATGCAAAATAGACTTCTGAGTTCAATCCAAAAGAAGGACTTCCTTTGCAGCCTCTGGAAAATTATGATGCTTCTTGAGTAATTAGATTTGGATTTTTATCCATTCTGTTCGTTCAGTGGCAGATAACTGTGCAGTAGTAAATGGATCAAGGGGCCATTAGAAATTTCAGTCACTACCAAAATGATTCTTGACAGCTTCAGCCCTGCTTTTAGTGGCTGCTTACAATTTGAAAAAGCCTGCCATAAGTGATACAATTTTTGCTGCAAGTTAGAAGTTGGAACAGAGTTTCATGTACAAATGTATGGGTCTTTTTCCTGGAGTTCTAGAGACACTTTTGGTTTTTTTTTTTCCAATAGCTTGAGCAAATAGAGCAACAGAAACAGGAACAGCTGGCCTTGCTGAAACAAATTGAAGAAGAGAGGGCACATCTGGAAATCCAAATGCAAACCTATTTGGAAGAAGCTAAGAACAAAAAGGAGGAGGAAGAGAGAAGTCAGCCAGCACACAGCTGCAGTGTTCCTTCTGCAGATCAACAGAAGAAAGCAGAACATGAGGTGAGGAACTGTGGAATGGGGTGTTTGGGGTGGGATCTGTATGTTTCAGTTGTTTTTCTTTTATAGAACCAAGAGCTCCAATTGCCAGTTTAAAATTCTATTAATGAAGACCTTGTTTTTATTTCTCAGGCCACAAATAAGAGCTGTACTGAACAGTACTGAAGTCTGTAACTTTTTTGTCTAATGTAGATGCTTTTATATCGCATTATATCTACCACTGAAGACTTTCAATACTGGGTTATCTGCAAGGCCTTGGGACGTATCTGTATAAAATGCTTGTTAGTAAAACCTGATTAGAGCTGTATAATGAGGCTGCACGTACAGCACGAACAAATATCCTTTTTCAAGGAAGAATAACCTTAGGAAAAAAAAAAAGCTATCCATTTTTGTCTTTGTCTAACTCTTAAATATCTATTTAATTTAAGGGGAGATCATTGAGGGGGTGAGGAGAGGTTTTTTGTTTGTTTGTTTTTTTTAAAATTTTGAACCATTTCCACGGTGTGCACTCTGAAAAGAATCTATTTGCCTTACAAAGGCAGCCGTGCTGGATCATTGCTCACTTAATTTGCTGCTGGGTAGTTTAGCTCTTTGAGCTAAGCTCCTACATGCACCATTGACTTTGATGATGGATGCCAGACTTGCCAAGAGGGACTGTAGCTGTAGGCTGTGTGTTCCAGAAACTGCTTTAGCTTCATTGCCTGAGGCCAAAAGCTCACAGACTTCAAGCAGTGATACGGAGTGGTTTCTGCATTCTTGAGAGAATGAACATAAGCTTGAGATTGTTGCTTTAACTGTTTCTATGAGTTATTTGTTTATTTTTACTTAAAGTCACTTATTTTCAATTAGTCTGGAAGTACTGCTATGCTGGAAACTGGAAGTCCTGGAGAAGACAGGCACTTACAGGTGATTCGTAATTATCAACAGCGTCTTCTACAACAAAACAGGTAAACTGCTTTATTAAAGTTCTGACCTTCCTCTTTCAAAACAATTGGAATTGCTTTGGTTATTGCAAATGATGTTACTCTCTGCACCGGTCTGGAAAGATGTGGGTTTTCTTTCTGTTTAGGCTGCACAAACAGACGATCAATGAAGCTAGAATGCGTCTGCAAGAATATCAGAATAAATTGAAGCAAAGATACTTGACTGATCCTGTGAAAATTTTAAGTTCTGTGGAAACAACCTCTGTTAATTTAAAGCTTATCTCAGAACCAGTTGAACAGAGGCAGAGCATGCAGTCTGTGCAGACCCAATCACCTGCAGAAGACCACACGCTGTCACTACCTCTTCCCTACAACATGTGCAATGTTCCTGAAAATGCATCTTCACAAAAACATGGACAGAAAATGCACAGTGTTTATACTGGTAGGCACCTACGTTCTCTAGAACCATCGAATTTGAAGTTTGGAGAGATCTGTTTGCCACGGAGATATTCTTTGCAGGAACAAGTGGGAATGTTGGACACCTCCAACAGTGAGGTCAGAGAACCATCTGTGTTCCATTTACCATCAGCACTGGTCACACAAGATGTTTCTCCAGCCAGAACGCAACTGGAAGCACGTGTACAACAGGTTAGATTTGCCTTACCTGCAGAACATTCCTCTGAGCCTTCAGAAACAGAGCACTTTAAGGAATCAGACCTCAGATGGTCTAACCATCAAATGGAAGCACAAGCTGAGGAAGAGCCTCCGCCTCTGACACCCCTTATGGCAGCAACAAAAGGATCCCCTATAGTGCATGCAGCCACAGTTGATTCTTTGGCTTGTCAGCAGGGGTCTGCAGAGAGCCCCGTCACAACAAGCCTTGAGCCCAGTTCTCTTTCTGGACCTGCGTCTTTATGTCACGAAGAAGGCGCTGAGGAATCCTTGGTATCAGAAAGTGGAGATGCATCTTTGTTGAATTATTCCTGTATACTGAATTTAAGGGACAGAATGTTGGCCTCATCAGAAAGCATCCAAGCTCAGCAGCAGTATTTGAAGGAGTTGCAAGAGCAGCTAGATGCACATAGAGAAGCTCTTCTTTCTAGACAAAAAATACAAGAACAACTACTGATACAGAAACAGGATGAACTGAGGGAACAGATGCAGAAACAACAAGAGGCTTTAGAAGAATTTCTGAACAAGCAGGTAAGCTTTGTAAGTGCTTTGCTTGGTGAGTCATCAGTAAGGGATAAAACTGTAGAGTGAATGCTAGGAGTTGGTAAAGTATCTCATGGAGTGTTGGGAGCTTCAAGTGATTTACTGTATTGGAAATTGTAATTAGGAACATCTTAATTAAATTTCCTTTTCTATAACCTTTTATTTCAAAAAGTTCTGTATGCACATAAAAAAATTGTTTTGGAAGTTGCAGTCTTGACTTGGAATTTTGCTCATTTCTGGGTAAGGAAGCTTTGGGTTAAAAGAGCTGCTGCAGTGAGCTGCACTATTGCAGTCTCCATACAGCTAAAATTCCTGAATTTAGGAGTGGAAAAATCAGAATTTTTAGGAATTTTTATTCTCAAAAATGCTGACTGTTGTGATAGAATCTAACAAATGCCTTGAAAATGTAACAAATCATGTTTTGTCATGTTTGGTTTGTAGAGCAAAGTAGGATATCTGTGTACCCAAATGCTTCTTCAAGCTATGCAAGGGGTGGAGCTTGCGTGCTTGAACTTTCTCAAAATGCACACTTGAGCTTGTTTATCAAAGTGCAAAGTAGTGTGAAATGTGCACCCACCAAAAGGCTGGCTTAATTCATGACTATAAATGTGAGTGCTGTTGGTGCTGTTTATTTATTTATTCCCCTTAAGGTGAGACACAGCAACATGAATGGAGTGATGACAGAGCCACAAAGGCCTGACTGGATTAGTAAGAGTGACTTTTTCCAGGACTCAGAAAACTACCAGGAAGAGAACTGTGACATGAGTAAATTTTACAGAGATGAAATGATTTCACAGTACATCAGTCTAGCTGGGCAAATTGGTAAGGCTGGATGGCATGTTTTATTACAGTATTTTGTTTTTCTCATGGAGTTCTCTTCATTTGCCCAAGCTGATTTGATAGGTATGTTGTAACATGCCTGGGGAACCTAAACCATAAAACCTTGTTTTACAGAACGGCCTGAAAATGTTCTGCATAGAGAACAGAAAAGGAGGTTTTCCAAACCTCCTGTGACAAAAGTGAAGTTGGGGCTTGGTTTGGAACAGCACGAACTCAGTGCTATTCCAGAAGTAGACACACCAAGGAGTTGCAACATTTCTTTTGCAGGTAAAATATGAGTATAAAACGTGTGTATACGTCTAGAATGTATGAATGCTTCTGTTCTTAGGAGTATAGATTGGAGGAAGTAATTATTCTCTGAAGCTTTTGAGGTGATTGGTAATGAAGTAATAGCTGATACTTTTACCATAAGGTATAACTTAAATATTTTTCAAGGGAATTATAGTTGAGAAAAGCTTTCTTTATCAGTGTCAGCTTAGAAGAAATGTATAAAAAAAAAAAAAAAAAAAAAAAAAATCACTGTAATTCCAGGACCGATTGATTTTTTTCTGTTGAACGTATCAGACTTGCAGGTTCTATGCTGAAAATAGAGCAAAGATAGAAGCCTGAGTGCAGAGTAAAGCTGTGTGTAGTTACTCAGACCCTAGAGAGGATCTGCATTTTTATGCAGCTATTCATAACTTGTTTATTCTGAGGGTTGAATCAGATGTGAATGTATCAGTTATTTGCAAAGAGAATAGGCAAGAGCAGCTGATGGAAGTTCTTTTTCTTTAAAATCTTATTTATAAGGAGCTGGCACCAAATATCTGCAGAAGTTTTCAGACAAGCTCTATAGTTGTTGTGTTTTTTTTTTTCTTTTTCAATTACAAACCATTCTGTAACAATTTTGGACAAAAACCACGCAAAGCAATCATCAGTTTCTAGGAATGTTGGTTGCCATTTGTATGCAGTACTTAGTAATGCTTTGTAAGCAACATTAAGTGACAGGTAAAACAAACTCATGTTTTCTAAATGTAAATTTTGATTTTTCCCCTTACCCTCTCCCTCAAGTCTCTTTACAGCTAAAATGTAATGCATGTTTTATTGCTGTGCTAGTGTTCATAAAAGAATGAAGCAGAACAATTCAAGTAGCTACAGGCCAGGTGAAGCTTAGAATCATAGGATCACCAAGTGTTTTAATTGCAATGAGTGGCTGAAAAGGGCTGTTGGTGAGGAGAGAGCACTGGGGAGAAAGGAGATGTTAATCCAAAGCAGAGAAGACAGGCTGTATCTGGATTTGCTAACCTGGTATGGTTAACTTACATGGAACACTGAGCAAAATCAGCAGATTATTTCTGTAGAACAGCATACCCACCTTAAAATGTTCTTTCATAAAGTGCAGAACATTGTGTATCTATACCTGAACTGATGAGTTGTTTTAAATTCAGGTAAAACAGGTTCTGCTGGTGGAGAACCTTCTCCCATTTCAAGTGTTGGGGGGTTTGCACATAGGAAATGTTATGGTGATGCTCTTCGTGAAGAAGGCAGGTCGCCTGGGAGCATAACAAGCTGTGAGCAGCAAATCTCTGTTGAAAGCCCGAGGCAAAGCAAACAGCCTGGATTATTACAAGAGCTGCTGCTGATGTCTACTGAAAATTCATATGATTCAGGTGAGGAAATCCTCTTTCTTCTGGGACCTGTGTGAGTACCATTCTGTACTGCTAATTTAACTGCTGTTTATCTGTAGGATGTGACCTGACTTGTTGAAGATCATAGAGTGCTATTTAAATACTGTTTAATTTCGATTGTAAAAAATGATATTTCAGGAAGTGCCTCTTAGGACTGAGTTTTAATTTTGCTTTGTTTGTTTGTGACCCACTACCACTGTAGCAATAATCCATGGATCTTTGCCTGTCAGCAGTTTTTCATCCAAAGCATGCACTGTGAATCTGTAACTCGTGGAGCTGTCTGTAGAGACCTCTTCTGCATCACCTGATTGCCCTGCTGTAGCAGCCGAGTTGTAGCAGCACACTCTCATGCGTGTACATAGTGAATTGCTAGATTAGAAGTTGTGTTCTTCTGAGAACTTCTTCCCAGAGTACGTGTGAGGTGCCCAGGTGTGTACCTTCACCTGAGAACCTGGAGCAGACCAATGGTGTGCCTGCATCAGTACTCTGTGATTCCTTCTGAAGACACAAGAGATTCATGCTTAGAAAGAAATGTGGAGTGTTACTGCACTGATAGGCAGCCATAGGGAGATCTCTGTAAGGAATTGCTTAAAAGTACAACTGAGACAAAATATGAAAGGCTGCTTGCTACCCTTAGTGCAAAGAAACAACTTAGAAAGAATCAACTGTTAGAAAACTAATTCTGGTATGCTCTGTTCATCTGTGAAGAACTTTAATTAGAGATTACACCTTTAGACTAGATTGTGTCCATGTGCAACAATGTTAATCTGATATCATGAATTGAAAGCAGTTGTTTTGGTTATCACAAATACAGCGATTTGTGGCTGTGTTCAACCATGTCATGGGTGGCTTAACTGGCTTGTAAAAGGACAAAGGTGTTTGAAGAAAGCAGGTTAGAGAGAGGGTTTTTTTTTCCTGCCTGTAGTAATTCAGTTTGTCTCTTTGGTCTTGGGGTAAAGTGAACAGGGGGGTTCTGGCGCTTTCAGTTGCAGTGCATTTACAGCTTCTAACATTTCTTGCAGATTGAAATGCAGTTTATTGCAGTTCCAGTTGGCAGATGGGATGTCTGACTTGCTGTGAACTGCTCTGTGTTCTGTGAAACGCTGACTTGAGCCATGTAAAGTTGAAAACAAGTAGACAGCACCTTGACATCCAGTGGAGTTTTCAGTATCTATTCAAAATAAATACATTACTGGGGCTGCAGAGCACTTGTTTTCAGCACCTTGCCCTTATATGTCTTTGTAAGCAATATAGCTATGTCACATGCACCTCCTGGTTTTACTAGAATTTTCAGTGCTGTCCCAAATATTAGGGTAAATTTTAGTTTGGTTTGTGCTGAGACATCCTTTGGAATTCAAGTAAGATTTATTAGGGATCAGAGTTGCTTTAAATCAGTACATGTAAGCTGATTTTTCTCTCAGTTTTTTCCTTTAATTCTCAAAATAGTCTGTTTGAAATATGCATCTCTTTACACTTCAGTGATAATTTAAGTATTTGTTTTTTAACAGCGTTTGGAGACAAGGCTTGTGTTTTTAGAATAAGTTGTGTAATCATAGAATCACCAAGATTGGAGAAGACCTCCAAGACCATCCAGTCCAGCCATTCATGTACCTTCAGTATTTTCCTACTAAGCCATGGCTTAGTAGTACAACATCTCAGTGTTTCTTGAGCACCTCCAGGGATGGTGACTCCACCACCTCCCTGAGCAGCCCATCCTAGCACCTCACCACTTCTTCAGAGGAAAAAAAGTTCATAATATGCAACATGACCCTGCTCTGGTGCAGTTTGAGGCCATTCCCTCCAGTCCTGTCTCTACTTACACAGGAGAAGAGGCCAACCCTCAGCTGACCACAGCCTCTTGTCAGGTAGTTGTAGAGAGCAATAAAGTCTCCCCTGAGCCTCATCCGGACTGAGCAATCCCAGTTCCCTCAGCCACTCCCTGTAAGACTTGTGCTCCAGACCTCTCACAGCTTTGTTGCCCTTTTCTGGACACACTCCATGTCTTGTAGTGAGGGGCCCAAAACTGAACACCGCATTCAAGGTGCAGCCTCATCAGTGCTGAGTACAGAGGGATGATCACCTTGCTCCTGCTGGCTGCACTATTGCTGATACAAGCCAGGATGCCATTGGCCTTCTTGGCCACCTGAGCGCACTGCTGGTTAGCTGAGCATCAACCAACACCCCCAGATCCTCTTCTTCTGCACTGTCTTCCAACCACTCTGCCTCAAGCCTGTAAGCCAGCATTGCTAGGTCACCACATTAACATTAAATATTGTTTTCTAGTGTCTTTTTACATTAGTGTGATCTGTGAACAGTGTAATTTATGTAAAAAGATTAGGAAACTTCATGTAAACATGCATATTTAGTTAATTAGAAAAAAAGCAAAAGAAAAGCCTCTGGGGATTGTCTTCTTGAGCAGTTCAAAGAACACCTCAAGAACACAACTCACCGTTGTCTTCTTCATGACTTGAAGATGTAGTGCTTCATGCCACCTGGAGAAACTAGCACAGTTTTTCAGGAGGAAGATCTAATTTGTGGTAAACTTAAAGGTGCATTTTAAATTGTAACTTATGATGGTAGCAGTGAATTCAGTTTTCTACTTGATTCTGACCAGAACATGCTTGCAGTTTTTCCTGTGTTTTCAGGAGACGTAATTGTCACTCCAAAGATAGGAGCAAATGAGTGCTTTCTACATGTGATTCGTGACCTTATTCTTGGAGGTTTCCACCTTCCTTCAAATAATGTGCACCTTTGCAGCCTGAAGTTGTACTATTTTGTGATTGTAGAACTACTTGATGTGCACAAATCCTATTAATGGCTGTTCACTTGCTTCATCAAAGTGTTAAAGATAAAAAGGTTAAAGGTGTGCAGGTTCACGAAGATAAACTTGTTAAATCAATTTGGCTGCTTCAGCAACAAAGCTGGTTTGGTTTGGTGCATGAGATTTGTCACTGAGTGACAGGCACATTTTGGGGGAAGTTTCTGTAACTGTTCATTTTCTTCAATTATTACAAGATGAGGGGAAAAAAAAACTGCTTAAATTTAGATGCAGACACATGTGGGTGCAAAGGGGGAAAGAGGGTATCTTGAGCACTGCTTCTGGGTAGGGGAGCATGAATCCCTGACCTCTGCATTGAGCGGATACAGGTGCTGCACAGACTGGGCAGGGAGGATGGGTAGCTGTTAGTGATGTTGGACTGTTTGCCTCACTGATTCAGATTGCTTCCTCTTACCATGGCACTGGTATCTCTCAAGGTGAGTTAGGAACTTAACATATTTGAGTTTTCTTCTTCTAAATTCAATTTGCAGAAGAATTAAAAAGGGCTAATAGAATGTAAATTGTTAATAGGGAACTGCAGAGTAATCCCACAGTTGAGACAGGCAGTTTGATCACACAAACCTCAGTTCCTTAGGGAAATTGTCTTGAAGACAGTGACTAGACCTGATGCATGCAACTTTTTCACAGTTCTCCTTCCATGCATATCAACAAGCCCTTCTCTGCATTCACCCCTGCCTTTAGCCTTTAGGAGTCTCCTTGGGCAGTGTTCCAGATGTGATCATTTTCATGTATTGCTGCCCTAAGCAGGTGTTATTCCAAGCACAATTATTTTCCATGTGAACCGAAATTAAGACTTCAGTTTATTTTTAATAATCTCAAATATTTGTCCCTAATTCATTATTACAGCAGACAGTCTTACCCTTCACCAATTTAGAAACGAGTACAACTACTGACTTCTTTTTCCTCTTAATAATAAGGTTTGGGCTAATCTGTTTTTCACTGTCTGTGCATGATTTGTCATTCAGGTCTCTCAGCTGCATCCTAAAATTACTACTGCTGCTTCTTCCTTCAGCTTCAGGCAGCACTTCTTTCTGTCACTGTCTGGTGGCCAGGCTAAAATGAAAGACCCGTGCAGATGTCAGGAAGCTGTGAGCAATGTGAACTCTGTGCAATTAGTTTGGAAGGAGAAATAAAAAAATAAAAAACCCACCTCTTTTGTGAGTCACCAAGTGCAGCCTTTTAAGGATGTTACTGTAATAAAGGCAGGTGGTGTGGGTGTGTTGTATTTTTTACTCTAAAATGAGTAATTAATTTGGGTTTATAGCTTGAAGCTGCTGCTGTTTGTCCCTTGTGTTTATATCACAGAACAATGCAAGTTACTAAGTATAGGAATAAAATGTTTGTAGAGTAGCTCTTCATAGAATGTATATACAAAGCTGTACTGGATACTCGAGTATCATTTCTTGTCACTCTGATGTCCTTCATGAAATAAAACATTTATTTCATAGAAATATCTAATATTGATGTAAAGTGAACAGGAAAATGAGAATTCCTGGCTTTCCATGGTAGCTTGTTTCAGCATTTCAGTTTTTATTTCATTTTAAAATAAGTGGTCTGTTTCCAGTTCCTGTGTGTTTTACAGCTGTTTCTTGCCACTGCTTCTTGTTAGGAATATCAGGAGAATTGGGGATTTGAAATGTCTTTGTTGCCAATTCTTGCAGAACTGGGAGAAAACGTATCTGCTTCTATTAACTGCAACTTCGTTTTGATATTTAACATTTTCCTTGAAAAATAATACTCAAGATAAGAATATGGAAGTGTTTGCTGCTGGATGTTGATTTAAGGTCTTAGAAGAACTGCCAGACCTGAATGCTTGTCAGCGTTGAATGCATACATTTTTTTTTCTAGTGCTGCTATGGTACTTTTCCTACAGACCTTCATCTTATTTCTGTGTCTAAGAGGTGGTTTGTTTCTGTGGTAGTATTCATGCATTAGTTAGACAATTCATGTTTCTGGTTTTTCTTATATAGTTTTAAAGTCCGATTTTCTTCATAATTGTTCTAATAGTAGAGGACAGAAAGATTTCTCCACTCCAGTAAATGATTCTAGTAACACTACCAGAGATGTACTTTATCCTTCAAGGCCAAAACATGCATTTATAGCTCTTCATGCATGCTCTTCAAAGAGCAGTCTTGCTAATCAGTAACTGTGGTGCAATGGAGCAGAAAGTGAGAAGAAAAAGGTAAGAAATGGGCAAAATCAGTGCGCTAGCAGTGAGAATAGCAGCAGTGGGGTATTACTGCCACCTGGTGTTCCAAAAAAATAATGGCAATTACAGGAAAAAAAAAAGCACTAACAATGAATGCTTTCTATTAAATTTGTTTTTAGCTCACTCCCAAGATTCTGTTGTGGCTCATGATGTCCCAGTTCTTGCTGCTGCAGTTGGAGGGGGCACACTGCATTCTGCACCATCACTCGGAAGCTCTCGTGCGGTCAGTCAACCAGAGTAAATGTGTAGTGTGATTTACTCTTTGAGATGTGTTTTAAGGATGCTGTGCAAAAACAAAAAACATGTTATTTTTGTAGACTTGAATTAAAGTTACCAAATGCCTAACTTTTATTCTCAGCGTGCTCATGAGTTGGTAGGAATTAGTACAGTCATCTGGTAATTCAGGTTATAAGGGACTTAGTGAGGTCCTTATCTCAACCTCCTGATCGAAGCAGGGACATCTGTGGAATCAGACAAGGTTGCTCAGAGCTTTATTGTGTAGGATCTTGAAAAATTCCAAACGTGGAGGCTTACAGGTCCTGCATGTGAGCTGTTCTGCTGTTTAACTGCCCTGTTGGAAAAGTTCTTCCTTATAACTGGTATGAACCTTTGCTTCTTCAATTCATGCCCATTGTATTTGCCCTCCAGACATGCAGCACTGAAGGGCCTGACTCCCATCTCGTTGTCACAGAATCACAGAATTGTAGGGGTTGGAAGGGACCTCCAGAGATCATCAGGTCCAACCCCCCTGCCTGATGCAGCCTAGGATACCATGAACCTGCTTTGCTGTAAGGGATTTGCTACTCATGTTCAACATGGTGTTCACCAGGGAGAAGTGCCCCAGCCCTCTTGACTGTTTTGGTGGCTCTTAGTGGAAGTCTGTGTGTTATAATGGAGGCCTAAGACTGGGCATTGATTCTAGATGCAGTATAAGAAGCACCAAGCAAAGAGAGATGGTCACTCTGAATTTACTGGCTGCATTCCCATTTATACGGTGCAGAATGCTGCTGTCCCTTCTTGCTGGCAGAGCACACTGTGTGCAGCTTGCTGTTTGCCAGGACTCCTGGATCCTCTTTTATAGAGTTGCTCCCCAGTTAGTCCCTGGCTTGGACTGATGCATGGTTTCTTCCCAGGTGCAGGACTGTGTTCATTCTCAGTGAGTTTCATAATGTTCCTTTAGGTCTCATCTTCATGAGGCCCCCCTGGATGTCAGACCTGCTACTGAGTACATCCAGTGTTCAAATGAGAGCATGCTGTTGCCTCTTCTTGGTCCTTACCAAAGGTGTTAGAGAGGGCAGGTTCCAGGGTAGATGCTGGTCATGCTCCAGTTATTCTCCCACCTCCAGGTCGAGTATCACCTGCTGGTCACTGTCTTCTGGGCCTGATCAGCCAGCAATTTTCCACCTGTCTGGTTGTCCATCCCTGTAGTCTGTAACACCCAAATTCTGCTACAAGAACAGAGAGAGAGAGTATCAGAAGCCTCACCAAAATCAAGGAGATCCACTGCTTTTCTCTGGCCCAAAGATCCTGTTATTTTGGCAGTAGATGAAAAACAGTGCTTAAAAATTACTGTTCATAGATATACAACACTATTTGTGCATACAGTGTGTATGTATATGTATAAATGTATGTTAAATGTACTTACAGCTAATATATAATGAAAAATAGCATGAGGAATGGGCTTCTTAGGTTTTTATCTTTTATTTTCTTGATGTGTTTTAATTCAAAGTTTTGGAAAAGGTAAAATGTTCATCTCATCCTTCAAAATTTGGAAGTAAGAGCCCTCTGTCTCTATTCTGTGACTGCAGAGCTTCAAAATTAAGGAATACAATTTTCTAGGAAATTTGACATATATTTAACCATAAAAGTAGAATGAAGCTCTCCAGTCATTCTCCTGTATTCACAAGTCACAGTCTTGAAAGTACTTGGAACGTTCCTGAGTTTTACAGCTTATTCCTCTGAGATCTGCCATTCTACTGAAGTGGGTCTGTGATGAGAAATAGCCAAATCTGAGCACCAGAAGATAAATAATCTTCTGGGTGTCGTGATTTGTAGGTAGTTCTGAGAGGCTTCTTGTGTGTCTGTGTGTGCGTGGTGTGTGTGTGTGTGTGTGTGTTGGGGGGAGGGCTGCTGAAGGGAATTGTGTCTGGGAGACTGGATGTGAGTGTTGTGTACTGAGCAATGATGAGTTTCATTTGCCTGACTGCAGAAAATGAAGGCTTCTACACTTGAACTGAGCTCAGAATAAAATCTGTGATTGTGGTTTCAATTATAGGGGTCTGAATACATGGTAACCTGTATGTTGCTTCCTCCTAGGAAGCACTTTCTAAGGTAGTGCCCATGGATGTAGGTTTAGAGGCTTCCATGCAAGCAATACCCTGTGACTTATCCTCAACTATTTCCACTGGAAGCTTTTTGACTACTGAAACCCTGGATGTCAGCACTGTTGACACTGGTAAGTGTTTTATTGTTCTCATAAATGGAAAAACTGATGTTTTCTTCATTTTATAGCAGAATGGATCTAATTCATTAGGCATAAATTCTTCTGGAAAAAATACGATGTGGAACTTTGCTTAAGAATTTATAGTACATGTTACAGAGCATAGCTGGAATGCACATATTATAATAAGATGTATAGCAACTTTATCACCTGCAAATACATGAGATGGATTTGGAAGTGATGATATAGTGTCCTGTGTGTTTACTTAAGGCTTAATATTGTCTTAATCTGAGTCGTATCTGATCTCAGACACACCCGTATGTGTGGATCAGTTACTTGGTGCTTATAAATCAATTTTTGAAGATTATTTTTGAAGAGATTTTTAAAAAAGTAACATTAAGGTTTTGGTTACTCGGCTACATGAATGCATTTTTCAAGTCTGGTTGTGCTTCCTCCATACACTCAGTGATTATTAAGATCTTTTCTGATTGCTTCTGTAAGAGGAGAGACAAAGAGGGACTGGTGTGCTAACAAGGAACCCACTTGTGGTTTCCACAATTCCTTTAATTTTGTTGCATTTATATTAGGTTGTTTCTATTTAAACAGGAATAAAACCATTGCCCTATGTCATAAAGATGCTCAAGGTCACATTAAAGGATTGACACCAAGCTGTGTGGTGTGATTGACACAACTGAGGGATGAAATGGCATTCAGAGAGACCTAGAGGAGGCTTGAGCAGTGGGCCCAGTTGAACCTCACGATGCAAATCCAAGTGCAAGATCTTGCACCTGGCCTGTAGCAACCCCTACTATCAGTGCAAGCTGGGAGACAAAAGGACAGGGCACAGCCTTGCTGAGAAGGACTTTGGAGCACTGGTAGAGATGGGAAGCTGGATGTGAGCCAGCAGTGTGCCCTCAGCCCAGAGAACCAACCATATCCTGAGCTGCATCCAGAGCAGTGCGGCTACGTCCAGCAGGGTGAGGGAGGTGATCCTGCCCCTCTGCTCTGTGCTGTGAGGCCTCACCTGGAGCACTGCATCCAGATGTGGAGACCTCAATGTAGCAGAGACATGGAGCTGTCAGAGTGCGTCCAGAGGAGGGCCACAAAAATGCTCCGAGGGATGGAACACCTCTCCTGTGAGGACAGGCTGAGAGAGCTGGGGTGTGCAGCATGAAGAAGAGAAGGCTCTGGGGAGACCTTGCAGTATCTAAAGGGGGGCTGTAAAAAAGAAGGGGACGGGCTTTTTAGCAGGGTCTATTGAGACAGGACAAGGGAAAATGATTTCAAACTAAGGAAGAGAAGATTGAGGTTGGATGTCAGGGGGAAGTTCTTTACTGTGAGAGTGGTGAGGTGCTTGAACAGGGTGCCCAGAGTGGTAGTGGATGCCCCATCCTTGGAGCCACACAAGGTCATAGGATCATAAGATCGCAAGGTTGGAAGCGACCTACAAGATCATCTAGTCCAACCATCCTCCCATTACCATTGCTACCACAAGCTTCTGAACTGTATCTCATAGCTCCTCATCCAGATGCCTTTTGAACACTGCCAGGGATGGCAACTCCACCACCTCCCTGGGAGGCCATTCCAGGCCATTGCCTGACCACTCTCTGAGAGAAAAAGTTCTTCCTTACGTCTAATCTAAACCTCTGGTACAACTTGTGGCCATTTCCTCAGGTCCTGCTTGTTGCGTGGGAGAAGAGGACAAACCCCTCCTCATCACAACCTTCCTTCAGATAGTTATAGAGTGTAATAAGGTCTCCTTTGAGCCCGCTCTTCTTCAGACTAAACAATCCCAGCTCCCTCAGCTGCTCCTCATAAGACTTGTGCTCCAGACCCCTCACCAGTTTTGTTGCCTTTCTCTGGACACGTTCAAGGGCCTCAATATCTTTCTTGTAGTGAGGAACCCAAACTGAACACAGTAGTTGGGGTGTGGCCTCACTAGAGCTGAGTACAGAGGGATGATCACCTTCCTGCTCCGTCAGGCTGGACAGGGCTGGGAGCACCTGATGGAGCTCTAAGTGTCCCAGTTCATGGAAGTGAGTTGGACTAGATGACTTTTGGGAATCCCTTCCAACTCAAATGATTCTATGACACTTCTATCTGCAATGGGATGTAAAATAAATAAATAAATTAAAAGGTAATAATAAAAGGTGTTACAGGCATTTAAGGGTATTAAGCAGCATCTTTTCAGGTGAATTCATGTAGATGCTTTATATATAAGTATGTGAGCATCTGGCTTCATATTTCAGGATTGTCGTCTGACAGCATGGAAGATCAAATTTGGAAAAGAATCCCAAGCAGCCCATGGGACTCCTCACTGCCTTTTACCTTGCAGCAGAGGGAGGAGAATCTGCCTGGGGCGCCTGAAACCGAGTTGCCTGAAGGAGTAACATGCCTTGATAAAGGAAGTCAGATTCAGCAGATCTTGGAGAAATGTGGAGAGTTGAACTCTTCATCAGACAACAATACACATTTTGAAGGTATTTTCTATTTTAAAGCTTTTGTGTCTGTGCTGTCATACAGAATGAGTTTAATCAGGATTATGTGTATTCAGTATTCCTTATATTTAGCTTACATTTGCAATAAACGTTCTGCACAGCAGAACTCCTGCCTTAAATGAAACCAAGTCCTTCATTGCTTTATGTAGCAATGTAGCTACAATGCTCTACATGTAGCATTGTGTAGTGCACCAAGAAGATAATGGGATCACAGTCTAGTTCTGTGCAGCTTCCTTCCACCATAGCAACATTGTTCTTTGTGCTAATATTATTGTTTGCATGTGTACAACTCTATTCAGGAGTTTAGAGCAGTATCTACACAATACTATATTATTCAGATGGAGTTGATAGATGAAGAATCACTGATAACAAAGTAGTGGAAGTTCTGTGCTATTTAACTGTGCACATTTAATGATTCATAACAATGAAACCATCTTTACTATCTGTCACAGTGATAAGTGGTATTTTAATTTGAACTGCTTCCTTCAGGAATGTGTTGGAAAACCCAGAATCATAGATTCTGGTTTTTAATATTAATCTTTAATATTAATCTTTATATTAATTAAAAGCAGGTCCAGAGGAGGGCCACTAAGATGATCAGAGGGCTGGAACACCTCTTCTATGAGGAAAGGTTGAGAGAACTGCGATTTTTTTAGCTTGGAGAAGAGAAGGCTGCAGGGAGACCTCATTGTGGCCTTCCAGTACTTGAAGGGAGCGTATGAACAGGAGGGGGAACGGCTGTTTACAAGGGTGGATAGTGATAGGACAAGGGGGAATGGTTGTAAACTGAGATGGGGGAGGTTTGGGTTAGATATTAGGAGGAAGTTTTTCACACAGAGGGTGGTGATGCACTGGAACAGGCTGCCCAAGGAGGCTGTGGATGCCCCACACCTGGAGGCATTCAAGGCCAGGCTGGATGTGGCTCTGGGCAGCCTGGTCTGGTGGTTGGCGACCCTGCACATAGCAGGGGGTTGAAACTGGATGATCTTTGTGGTCCCTTTCAACCCAGGCCATTCTGTGATTCTATGAATCTAGACCAGAAATTCTTAATCCCACTCAAATGAGAGGTAACTTGCTTGTGGGTTTGTCCAGCCAAGTTCTGATTATCTCCCATGGAAGAATTTCATACCACTCAGACATCTTGCTTAAAATCCTTAATTGGGAATTTTTTCTTTATATCACAGAATGGCCAGGGTTGGAAGGGACCTCAAGGATCATGAATCTCCAACCCCCCTGCCAAAGGCAGGGCCACCAACCTCCCCATTTAACACTAGACCAGGCTGCCCAGGGCCCCATCCAACCTGGCCTTGAACACCTCCAGGGATGGGGCATCCACAACCTCTCTGGGCAGCTGTTCCAGCACCTCACCACTCTCTCTGTGAAGAACTTCCCCTGACGTCCAACTTAAATCTTCCCTCCCTCAACTTAAAACCATTTCCCCTTGTCCTGCTGTTATCTACCCTTTCAAAGAGTTGATATGTAACCAGAATTTCCTGTGTTGCATCTTTTGTCCATCATCTTGAGCCTCTTTTCTTTCACTGAGTATATTCAACAAGAGGCTGTCTGCACCTTCCCTGTACTTCTTTCTAGGACAGCATAGACAGCAGAGATCTCTGCGCCTCTTCCCCCATGCTCTCAATACTTTGTGCAAAACTGAACAAACCCAGTTTTTAAGTTTCTCTTTGAACATTGTGTGTTTCATCCTTACTCGTTCTTGTGGCTGCTCACAGGGCTTGCTGCAGTGTGTCAGTGTGTGCATTTTGTACTGGGAAACCCAAACCAGGACAGAGCTTCTAATGCAGTCTCTCAGGTGCTTAACAGAGAGCTTCTTGACCTCAGCACTTTCTTGCAGCAGTTGTACTTGCACTGTGTCAGTGTGAAGGAGTTGAGTGCTGTGAAGATCTGTTTTTGCAAGCTAGCATTTGTTCACCTGTGGAAATCTATATCCTCTCCTTTTTCATTCAGAAGCAAGGTAGCAGATGTCAGTTTCCATTTTTTTAAAATGACCTCTTTTCTTTTCTCATAGCTCTAGCAGCTGAGCTTGATTTTCCTGAAACGGAGAGGCATTTTCCTAACTTCTGCCACCGGCTATTTCAGCCTTTGGAACCAAGTCCTGCCTTCAGTGTTTCATCACCCATTTCTCACTACAAGATTCAACAGGGCAACAAAGAATTGAGGAAGGTACTGCAGAAAAGCTCTGTTTGACTTGAAATTTATTTTTATGAAATGCCTTAGTAATTTTTTACACGTCTGGAACTGGAAGCATTTCTGCTGTTTGTAGGGGAAATGTGATCCAGAAAGCAAATGTTGCCATTAACTTTTCATCCTTTTCATTCCTAAAAATAAAATAAAATGAAGCCTAATCAGGATTTTTTCTGCTGCTAGATTTCAACATTTGCAACAGAAAGTGAAGAGCAGTTTCTAGAAGTGAGAACCTCCAATTTGAATACACAAAGAGGCAGTCTGATGGACAGTCTTGAAACAAACAAGCCAAACAACAGTACATCAGAAGAGTGCTTCAAAGAGGATGTTACTGTGGGTATGTACAGAGCAGCCTGATCAATGCTATAAACATGGATCCATTGCCAATATGTAAATACCAACCTTAAAGCTTGTTTTGTTGTGTTGAAACTGGGAAGGAACTCTTCTAAATAAGCTCTGCTTGGAAATGTTTTAGTTCTGATTCTTGTCTCTTAGACATCATCTTCTCCACCATCTATAATGTGTAGAACTCAAAAATGTTAAGGTCTTTCCTTAGCAGTCATTACTTGAATGCTAGGATCTGCTGTTGTATTGAAGGTGCTATAGCAGATGGTACTTACGTTGTGCAGCAGTTATGATGGTAGTGCATTAATTCCAGTGGTGGCTGAAATTAATAAGTTTTACCAAAAAAAATTCTTCATTTCCTCGTTTTGTAAGTTTGGGGAAATTATTCAATTTATGGAACTTCCTGACAAAGAGCACGGCCAGCAGGTCAAGGGAGCTGATCCTCCCCCTCTATTCTGGTCCCTGGTGAGGCCACATTTAGACTGCTGTATCCAGTTCTGAGTTCCCCAGTTGCAAAAGGACAGGGATCTTCTGGGAGTGCAGCGGAGGACCACAAAGATGGTAAAGGGCCTGGAGCAGCTCCTGGATGAGGAAAGGCTGAGAGACCTGGGTCTGTTCAGCCTGGGGAAAAGAGGACTGAGGAGGAGATCTGATGTAGTTAATTAACCTTGTTATTTGCACAGATGTTCACGCATTCCTCAAAAGCTCTGTTAAGGAGGAATTCCTTTAAAGCTGAAATGTGGTTGTGTTAAGCTCACATTTTGACTTTTTGGAACAGGTTTGGAAGAATCTTTTCACCCGCTGCAATTGGAACCTGCTCTGAGCAATCACTGTCAGAATGCTGCTCGGCCAGCAGGCATCAATGTGGAGTCAGAGAGCTCCTGGGGACTAAATCCTGGGATTAAAAACGGGTGCAGTGAGAACAGTGTTTCATCTGACAGACAATACGAAGATCTGGTGAGGAGTATGGAGTGTGTTGGTCTGCAGTGTTCAGTGGAGGATATGCGAAACCAAAGTCTGAATTCGCTGGAAGAACAAAAATCATTTTATCAGCTCAGTACCACACCAGTGACAGTGGCTGAGCCTTTCCCTCAACACGCATTGAAAGAGGGCGTAGCATTCAAAAAGGAGATTCTGTCTTCTGAAAAATTACCTGTCAAGGTACTTGATAGGAAGTACTTGAAGCTTCCCGAAAAATTATTTCGTGTACCTGAAGCAGATAAAGCTGTGGAGGTGGATTTGCACTGCAATACAGATGCAAAGGAGCCAGGTGAAAGTTTTCTCGAAATACAAAAGTCTTCAAGGATTCCTGAAGACATGAGTTTGGAAGCCCCAGACGTTAATTTACAGGCAGTAGTAAAACAGAATGCTTTCTGCCTGGGAGGACATGAAAAACACTCTAACTCTGTGGCTGCAGGCTCATCTCGTATTCCAATCTGGGTAAGTAGAACAGATTTTCCAAAGTAAGTGGTGTTTTGTGCAGGTATTTTGGTGCTTTACTTGTTTTTACTTGTTTGTGTCTTTTTTTTCTTTTTTTTTTTTTCTTTTTTTTCCTTTACTGAGCTATTTTAGATCTTTAACATCTGAAAACTTGGCAGATGTTCTTTTTATAGTTCTGGTTTCAGACTTGCATGTTTCTTGGACATTTGCTGTCCTTGCTCTTTTAGATCACAGCACTGAAGCAATTAGCAGTGGTGTTAGTTGGTGCAGCCTGGCCATGAAACTGCAGTTACATAACTGATCTTAACCCAGTCTGGGAGGTAAATAATAGAACCAAAGCATAAGTAATCGAAAACTGTGAAACTTATTTCCTTTTTCATTTTTAAAACAAACCAACCAACCTGGCCTGAAACTAGATTTCAGCAGTGATTTAAATTGAGGTGAGTGGAAGAGAGCTTTGTTTGATTGCTTTGGGTTGTTTTTTACTTACTGGTTTTAAAAAACAAACCAAACCACTGAACTTCTTGTTGGATTGGTTTGATGTATCAGTTAACACCTTGGGCAAGGCAATCCTTCTGGATTTCATTATTGCTTTGGGCAGGTTCTATTTTTTTTTCTGTGTTGAATGAGCCTCTCACAAGCTAGCAGCTGTTGCTATTTCTATATAGTGGTTTTAAAATATATATGATAAAATATATTTTAATGCATACATCGTTTATATACTTTAATATTTTATATTATATAAAGTGATACATAGCTTTTACACTGGGGTTTTGTGTCTTCTACCTGCAAGGAGACTGAGTCAGGGCGTGGGATTATGGAAGAGCCTGAACTCACTTTTGTGAGCTCCAATGACGTCAGTACTGCAGAATCAGACATTGAACATACGAACCAAGAGGGAAGTAGTGAGGATAAAACAAATAACCCAGCATGTGCAGACAGGTCTGCCATCAGTGTTCTGACTGAGGTGAGTCTTAGTTCAGCTGTTGGGCAAAAGGACTGCAATGTTTTGAATTTGAATTTTTTGAGTGTTTTTAGAAGCACTCTAATACTGTCACTATCCATTTCTGGTGTTTTTCTTGCATCTGCTAAAGGGAAAAGACTGTCTTTTCTTGTGTCTTGTCCATGTTAGGGTACTGTATGACTACTTCAGATTTCTGGTGTATTTTCTGCATTTTCAACTAATGATTCCTTTTGAAACAGAAAAGAGAATTTTTACCAGTGGTTCCAGATGCAGTTTGTTCAGTGCTCATAAGGCCTGACAGCTCTTCCAAAGCCCACAGTGCTACCGAGGGTCAGTGTCCATCACATCGGACTGCAGGTAATTCTGTACAGCTTCAACATACTGAAGTTTTAACTTACAAAGTCATTGCAAGATACTACACCTCTCCTTTGGAAAATATAACTTCTCTTAGACAGGTGCATGTTGCTGTTTGGCCTCTGTGTACATTTGGCCCAGGTTTGATGTGTGCTTTACTGACAAGAAAATAACTTGTCTCTTCCTGTAGGAGGCCATCTTAAGCAATAGATGGTAATGGCTATAATTAGTGAGACTTCATTTGGTTTTATTTGTAACTATATTTAATTTTGAAACTCTTGTGATGTTTTGTTGCCTGTCATTATGTACGTAGTCCACCTTCCCTTGTTTGTCTCCTATCAGTCAGGAACCTCTGCAGTTAAAAGATGTTCTGATGTCAGTATAGAACATAAATAGTGAAACAAGGAAGAAAGGATCTACCAGGCTGTAACCATTTGTTAGGGGCTTCTCCAGTCTTTGTGTTTCGGCGCAGTATCTGTTTTGGCAGTAGTGCTTATGGTTTCTAGATTCCTTAGCTCTGAATTACTGCTTATTGTGCAAAAATGTCACTTCCTGACACCAGTTGTGAAAACAGATCCTGGTCAACATCTTAGAAATGCACTGAAATGTATGAATTAGTAGAGGTGGTTTCTTTGCAGAATGTAAGAAATGCTTGGACTTTTCTTTCTCAGTGATGCTGCTGGAGTCTGCTTCTGCACCAGGGAGTTTGCAAGAATCTTTTTTGAAAAGAAAGAAGGACTTCATCCAGAAATCCCTGAGAAGAGTTGAAGAAATAAAACAAAGAGAGAGAAAAAATGAAAAGCCAGAAGGCAGACAGGTTCAAAGGAAAAAGTCTGAGACATTAAGCAGTCAGGAGGCTCGTCTTATCCCTGGTATGTTTACTTGGGCATGTGACGTGGGCTAGGACTGCTTTAGTTTTTAAATATCACAGAAAACCTTTCCTATGTGTTGCATCTTCACTTTTGCAGTTGGGGTATTCTTTAATTTCTTAGGGATGTGGGAGTTCCTTTTCCCCACTTTGGCTGTCTCATGTTGCAAGCAGACTGCATTTATCTGCATTTATCATCATAATGTGTCTTTGCAAAATAACTGGTTGTGAAAGAACTGTACTAAGTGAACTAATGCATCTCTAACCCTGTTATCAGGGTTTGGTAGGCAGCTGCTGAGAAGCACAACTCGCTCCAAGTACAGCCAGCAGCCTCATTGGGCACTCTGGTTTTTAAGACAAACATTCATCTCCACTGTACCAATTCTGTTTCTTTCTTTGTAGTTCTATCTCAACCTTTGAAACCTCTTATGCTTTTGAGTTCTTGTATACTGAAGAAGTCTGTCATTGACAACTGTTGATTTCGTTTTTTACAATTAGTACCTGGTATTAGTTTTGTAAACTGAGCAAACTTTTACTGGGGCGCAGTAGTTTGTATTGTAAATAGATGTAGTGTCTGGGTTAAAGACTTAGGATACATTTTGTGTTTGTGTCTTTTAAAGGGAAAAAAGGTGCAGTTGTCCATCAGCTGAAGAAAGTAGGAGAAGTGAAAGTGTCTTCTCCAGAAGACAGGAAGGCTGGAGAAGCTGAAATGTACCAGCGCACCTCAAGGTACTGCATGAACAGTGGAAGAAGTTTGGATTTAAACAAGATAAATGAGAAGTTACTGATACGAGCCCTAACAGTACATGTTTATACAGGTGAACACTGAGCCATGCCCTTGCCCAGCTTGCAGCAGGAAGGAAGTGCTGGCAGCCTGCCCAGCTGCACTCAGCATTTAGTAATGATGCATGTGTACAATGCAGTGGTTGAGTGGGGTCTGTGTTAGGTCAGCTACAAGTTAGTTGAAGTGATGCCAGATCAGGGGATAGTAAAGTCAGAATTGCTGTAATTTCTAGCAGTTGACAGTATAAACCCTTAAGGCTGTTATGTACTCCTGCCTTCCCCCTTTCCTTCCTGACAGTATTTTTTCTAATGTTTTGACAGACTTTATAATCAACTTTCAGAAGTAAAGATCAGAAAAGAAGAAAAATCAAGGCAGGAAACTTATGCTAAAAACAGAGAAAAGGCTAAGGAGTTTCAAAAGGTAAAGTAATCCCCTCTTAGCATCTCGAGCTGGTCAATACATGTCCCCTAGCTTCTAATCAGACTGGAGGCGTAATTCTGCAGTGATGACTGAACAGACTATGAACCAGGTCTTAACATTTCAGCACAGCCTCTTGGGAATACTACCTTTGCTCAGTCAGTGAGCTTTTAGAGACTTCCCAAGCACTGCTATTGGCTTAGTCTGTCTGAGACCGCCCCAGTCAAGGCAGTGTGCCAATACAACGCAGCCCTTACGGCTGAGTTTTCTCTAAAGGACATCAGCCTGAGACTGAATTCTTGTGACTTGAGGTCAAATAAAAGGACTGAGGGGATCCAGCTGCTCGTGTCAAACAGTATTGCTGAGTGTGATCCAAGCACAAGCAGGCTTGGTGCTTCCCTGGGAAGACTCTTCCACCTGCTCTTATACTTCTCTCTGTTATAGAGCAGCATTACCTCACTTGTACAGCTTGGTGTTATCACCACCATTTCTTGAGCTATGCTATTCTCACATGATTTTAAATCTTGCAGAAAATGCTGGAAAAACTACGAGCCAAGAAGCCAGGGAAAACACCCAGACTAGGAGAAGCCTCTAACCAAGAAACATTGCTGTGCTGATACAACTCAGAGTATTTAACAGTAAGAACTGCATTAACCTAATTCAGGTAATGACTGACAGATGCTTTCTCTGGTGCCATCTACTTTTAATATGTGGCAACCAGCACCGAGTAGAATGATGCTGCAGGAAAGCTTTGTGCTGTAGTGTTTGAAAGAGAGCTTATACTACTTGTAATATAAACATCTAATAAAGTGTTTTTAAAAAACTCTGAGGTCATAGCATGTGTGACAATAAGATTCCTTTTCAAAAAGCTGAAGCTTTTATCCATTTTTCTCATGTTTAGTAGGACCAGTAATTAATCACTTACATAATCCTCATTACAAAGTACAGGTTTGTGCAGCAGATGTACATCTCAAAGTCCCTGAAGCCAACAGACTAACATCACTTACAGAACTGTCTTCACTTGTGGATGTCAGCTTGCCTTCTACGAGCTAACTGCACCTTGCAAAGACTGTCCATAGAATTGCTGGGGCTGGTAAAGACTTTCAAGATCATCAATTCCAGCCTCAATTTAACCATCCTGCTGTAACAACTTACTGCTAAACCATGTCCCTGAGCACCACATACATCTATCAAGACAGCTTTTAAACACCTTCTGGGATGGTGACTCAACCAGCAGCACCCTGGGGAGCCTATCGCTGTACTCAAGTTTATTAGCTCTGAAATGAAGCAAAGGGCAGAACAGCACAAGTTCTAAGCTGCAGTGCTAACACAGAGCTGATTGCTGTAGCAGGTGAGAACACCTGAAATGCATTCATTTCCATTTCCAACAGGTCTGCCCAAATTTCAAATACAGCAGTATGAGGTAGCAGCTTCTCTGTAAAGAGTTAACAACTAGTTCACACTAGTTAGAAGTACTGGTTGCTGAAGTGACGCACACTGTTACAACTTCCCCTATGCACAGAGGACAAACAGCTGAAAGGAAGAAGAGGCCTCTTGCTACAATAGTGGGCTCTTTTCAGTGTGCAGGCTCTCCTCTCATCTTTACTGTAGTGTTTTTCTAGAGGCTGCTCACAGGTCTGAATGTTGTTCCTTTCTTGTAACCAGGTGAGAAAGGAAGACAAAGTAACGCTCGGCTACAAGGCAGACGTGGTTACAATCCCTGCTTTAGTTTTACACAGTGTAGCAAAAAGTAATAAAAATTCCCTGGCTGCAGCTGGTTCTTTCAAGCAGTTTTATTTGAATGTTACTTTCTGTATGAAGTAAACAGCCCCATCTCCCCACTTGGAACAGTTTGAACACAGTTGATAATCCTCCCCTGCTTACAGCCCCACCTTGATCCACTACTTCAACTTACAGGGCAATGAAGTTAAAATATTTAAAATTCTCAATTATTACAAGAAATAGAGGAGTGTTTTAAGAGCATTTAAGAGCTTTTCTTTCTTGCAAGACTTGCAGCAACATCACATCAGGACCTGAGAGAAGAAAAAATAATGAGCACCGTAATTCAAGAGAAAGAAAAGCATTTCAAGTTATTGACTTCCTATAGGTTGAAGCAACCTAACTTCATAGCATGGTGCTGGTGTAACAGCAGTAATGCAGCCACACAATCATACATCCCTTACTCAATTGTTTAGGGGCAAAAAGAATCATTTTGCATGCTTGCTCTGACTCCAGTTTCCTATATGCACTCTATCCATAATATTTCAGTTCAACACTACTGCCCACTCTTTGGGATTCTCTGTTTCCATGCAGTTTCAAGAACATGCCATACACCCAAGCAGAAGGAAAAAGCATTAAAGATACAAGACAGCTCATAGTGCCACAATTACATCAACATTCTCTTCCAACCCCACATGCTGCTGAAGTCAAATGGTTGCAGATGAAACCAAGTAGCATTCTGCCTGCAGTAGGAACTCAAAATGTGACAGGGCAGTAGCTACAGGTGGTTTCTCATTCTAAGCAACAATGTAACTTAAGGACTGTCTCCTCTGAAATAGACCACAGCACACACAAAGTGGCTACAGCATCCTGCTAAAAGGAGTTCAATGTACGGTCACTGCGTTAAGAGCTGCTGGTTTTCCAGCCATGCAAACCCTCTTTGAAGTGACCTTGAATTTCTTCTGGGTACCAGCACTGCTGCCAAGCATCTTACCTACAGAGTTGCTGTGGCAGCACTCAGGTACAGCTTCATAACCCCAACATTCAGTGACAGCAGCACTCTGGTACACAAAGGCACACCTGGTTTGTATAAATGAAGAGTTAAAATGAAGTTGGATGCCAAGTGCAAGAAGTAGATTTTTGTTTTCCATTCTGAATGCATGACGGTTCTGTCAACAGCAGCTTCTGGGGCTTGATTTCAACAGCTGAAGATTCTTGCTAGCACTTGGGTTCCTTGGTAGCCAAAGAGAGCCACTAACAACCAGCAGAAGGGAGCACTGTGTCTGTGGCCTACACCAACGCTTTATTCCCAGCAGACCTACTGCCACACAATGCAGCAATTCAAGAGTCTGATGGAGTTGTTTTATGGTCATGTCCACAGCTTACCAGGAACAGGAATATCCTTGCAGCCTTGGTAATGACCAGATCTCCCTTTACTGCTGTTTTTACAAGCACACAAGACTAGCTTGCAGGCACACACCCTGACCCAGATACTGCCAAAATCTGGAGCGAGTGCTGCCCAGGACTGCCTGCTACTGGCCAGTCATTTCTATGTTTCTAGACAGCTTACTGAAGTTTTGATCTTCTAGAGTCATGTGTCAGCAACCGAACTTCCATCAACTTGCCCCAAACCTCCTGAACTGACAACTCAGTGCTCACCTGTCCAACAGGCTGTTTCCTCTTCCGCAGCTAATCCATTTCACACAGCCAACTGACTGCTCTGTACCCCAAGGCACCTGTTTAAAGAAACAAACTGAACACACCAGGGAGAACCAGCGGTCAGCTCTCACACTGACAAGTCCTGCCCCACACAAAAGGACTGTGCTCAAATGCTTGAAGAGGACAAAGCCTGTATCAGCAAGAATACCAGGTTCAACAACCACAGCAGAGTGAAAACCAACGATGCCAAATGCTGAACTACTGTAGCACTGATTTTTGAACACCCCATCAGAAGAATGCTGCTGGGTGCAGATACCGTTCAGTGCAACAGATGCAACAGTCCTCAATCAACAAATGCACATTTATGTTCAAGCTCTCCAGACACCAGTTAGAGAGAAGTGAAAATGTAGTACCAATCTCACAGAAGTTGCCATGCTAAGAGAGAAAAGAAATTCCATCAATTTCAGCAGTCTCATTATTCTTTCAAGTATTCTTTATATTCCCAGCACAATGGGCTTATGAGTATTGTCCTTTTACTTCAAGCTATGGTCTGTGGAATAGCACTATGCTCCATGTAACCCAGGAGTTCTAACACTGTACCAGGCTCAGAAATTAACTCAGACTTTAAATCTTTGAAGCTTAACAAGAGAAAAGCAGCATTGCTGAATTACATAGAACAGCAAAAATCCAGCATGCTCATTGAGTTACTTTAAGACTGGACAGACATCAGAGGGCTGGACTTTCTAATTTAAACTTACAGGCACCACAACGAACAGGAAATCACTTTCAGATTGAAGAGGGAAGAGCCTGCTTCAAGCCAACCAGAAAAAAACACAAAGAGGTCTGGCACCTTCACAGACATCTGGCTGAGCAAGTTCAACTCACGCAGTTAAACATGTTAGTTACATTTTATATCTCAGAACATGCTCTTTTTCACTCTTACCAAGCTTTTCCATTTGAATTTTTTTTTCATCTATATCAAATTCATGAGCCAGTACCTGAGGGAGAACATGACACGTTACTTCCATTCCTAAAATGGTACATGAAGATTTGTCTTGCAGTTCTATCCCACAGAGCCAACAGGTAGCTCCAAGGGTGAAACTAAACCACAAGTTTGTTCTGTGAGGCGTTTCCAACGACATGAACCTACAGAAGAGATCCTATCGGGATAGACCTCAATGTTTCTGTGACCATAAACCAACCAACAAAAATCAAGCAGACTGGAAAAGCATCTTATACAGTTCCTATGAAGTGCCTTCTTACTTCTGTCATGATTTGTGGGAAAAAGGAGCGCAATGTTACACTACCATTTCATTTGGAAGATGCAGTAATAACTCCACATCAGTTTAATGTTAAAAGCTACGATTACACGAACAGTATTACATGAACATGAACAGTATAAAACGAAGGGAATTAACTACAACATGTATTCAAACACTCCTAACTTCCCTTAGTACTCATTTACTTTAAAGTGAAGCCCGAGTTTAGGAAGTTAACCTCATCACTTCATTTCAGACTGAGATCTTTCTTGGGATAAACCAGAGTTAAAGAAGTCTTCTCTTAACAGACTGAAAGGGAATATTACTTTAAAATATCCTAACAAATGTTGAGTTATGCCCCTGCAACACTCCAAAAGGCACTGAGCTTCACCTGGTGAACACCTCCAGCCACTGAAAACCAGAGCCCTTCAAACACTGATGCATCTGCAGAAGCTCAGAGGGCACACTAACCTATAGGGGAGCTCCGTCTCTGTCAAGTGGCTTTCTGCACTTCTTCTCTCATTTCTTCATACCACCTGAAAAAGCAACATCACCACAGGGTTACAAAATGACTTGCATGTGCATACAGTAGGACCTACAGCAGTGAGTTGTAGAACCTTCAGAAGCCATTTCTAATCACCACAGGCATTTCTGACGATCTCTCCCACTGCAATCACACTTCAAGCTACTGCAATGAACATTCAAAATGTAATTTGACAGTTTTATCAACAAAAAAAAAATATCAGTCTTTATTCACTGAGAACATTCTGCATGCTCCATCCTCAGCATGGATAAGCAGTATGAAGTCAGGCAGCAGATTTGTTCAGAAAGGCCATTCTCACTCACTCTCTTCAGAGCAGTTGAACATTTTGCCAATCATCACAACAACTTCCTCAGATAGCATCAAGCTTTACAAGTCAGTTTTTCTGATGCAGCAGTACTCAGTAGGAACAGCCATATGCCAGCTCAGAAAGTTGAAGCAAAATTTCTAACTCTCACTAAGCAATGGTTACGTTAAGCTGGCATCAGACTCACCAAGGTATTCCTCCGGTCTGCATCGTCAGGTGGGCTTGCTGAAAAGAGCAGATTACGGTACTGATTAACACGTCTAAGTTTCTTCAGCATTTTAGTAACTTCAAGATGCAAGCACTCTTACACTGAATACGCAGCACTTCAAATCAAAGTCTGTCACAAAACTATCAACAAAATCTACCCACACTTAAGAAATCAAAGCACTATGGCACAGAAGATGTATGTGAGGGTGTTACCTACGTCAGCTGCACTGCGGTGTGAAGCAACTACAAGACAGCTTCCAAGAGTGCTCTGATAAACTATTTACAGAATTCAGTACTGTGTGTTTTTCTTCCACTTCCCACAGCCAGCAGGATGCAGAATGCTGCAAGATATTGTTTAGTAGCTTAGTGGATAGTAATGCTGATAGGAGGATGGTTGGATGGGATGATCTTGTGGGTCTCCTCCAACCTTGTGATTCTATGAATTCAAGAATTCACAACACCACACATGTCAATCCGTCAGAATTTAAGAGTAACCACATTTTGAACCGTGTTTGCACAATTCTCTCAGTATGTAAGCCTGTTACAGGTCTCATTGTCACCACTGCAATGGGTGTTACAGTGAGGAAAGCACAACCTGTTGCTCTTCTGGCCCCGTTGTTCAATTGAGACACACACGGAGTTGTCTGCCTGCTGAATAACAAGGCGCAACAATCAACTCTTCACAACACCTGCAGAACAGCTTGTTTTAAAGCCCAGCCCATTAACTCCAACATGGACACATCACTGGCTGCCTTCTGGATTTGCCTTTCCAAATGAAATACTTATTTAGGAAAAAAAAAAAAACCAGCTAAGTCTTCAGCTTACAGTCACAGCACAACCTCCCCACAGGGAAAAAAACTTCCTCAAATATTCCTCTACTTCAAGAAACACTAAAGAACCAGGTCAACTTAAATGCACTTTTATCACTTAACAACTTGTCTGACAGTTCCCACTGCTGTGTTTGACAAGCTCCACCAAAGCCTCTCTGAGAAGGCAAAGACTCAAGTTCTCTCACGCCAAAACTCAGCAGAAACAAAGCATACCTCCTTAACCAGTGTGTTCCACAGGACAGCACAGAAGTAACAGATTTGTGCACCAGCTGTAAGAATTCAAGCAGATCAAAACAGTTACAACAGCTCAGTGCTGCAGAGCTGGAAAAATTCTATGAAGGAAACAAAGCAACTGCACAACATTTCTGCACATGCAATACGAAACATGCCCTTTGGATTAATTGCTGCTTGAATAAATATAAGCAGTGTCCCTTCATGTAAGTAACACAGCCAATACATGCATCGGCTGTGGGTTGCGAAAGAAGGGTTTTTTCTAAGCACCAGGTTCCAGGTTTTTGTCTACAGCACCAGACAAAAACTGAACACGTGCTGAAACTGAATGCGCCTGCTCTCCTGTTATTTTTCATGTCTCTGAAACAGCATTTGAAGACCACACACAAATGAAGTTATTTCTCAATCAACTGTATACTTACTCCATTAACTTTCACCATCCATTACTGGGCTTCCTGTTTTTAAGAGACAGGTATGACTTGGACTACTAACAGGTGCAACAAGCCCAGTATTACTATCAGATACTGTTGTAAGAACAATTTACACTGTGTCAAGTTGACACGTTATGTACTCCAGTACCTTTACTACAACAAACGCTGAAAGCAGATGCTCCAGTTTGATCCTCATACAAGGAAACATGCTCATTGTCATTACTGGTGTAGCTGCACCTCTGGGCTCCCTGTGTTAAAGAGTAACCTTCAAGTTTTTCTTCTGTGCTGCATCCTAAGCCCTCCTGAAGAAGCACAGGTCTGATAACATCCCTTTGTGAGAAACTGCAGTAACATCCAAGACCACCTCCTGATGTTCCTTCCCCCTGCAGTTTTACCACAGGGCAGTTATCAGACACTGCAGCTGCACGAGGCACCAGTACAGACATCTCCACTAGGAGCACCCAACATAAACCACAGTTGTCTTGTCTGCCTGCAGCATTCAACACTGGCTGACACAAGCACTGCTACCTATCACTGCCTACACAAACTACTTTGAATATACAGGTGTTAAAAAACTGATGCTTTCTGTTCCAGCACAGGCTACAGGCTGGACTGGCAGGAGTCACAAAGCCCACAAGCTACCTGGAGAAAGGAAGTGCATAGCAGTAACAGCTTACCTCTCACAGCAGCTGATCAATATTCATCATCCAAAAGCAACAAACTGGAAAAAAAATGAAAGGGATAAGAATCATCAATTATGGTCAAATAAGCTGAGATCCCTAAAGGCAAAAGCTACTTTTCAGCAATCAATTTGGCAGATGTAAAGCACTCACTTTTCAGGTGTGTACATCCAGTTCTAATCAGAATTGAAATTTAGTTCATTTCTGAGTCACTCAGCAGTTGAACAGAAACATTCATCACATGAACTGCAGAATGAGCAGGACTCCACATCCCACCTCACTACGCCTCAGCCTGCCCACTCTAGATCTAGGATGAGTCTTTCAAGCCACACAGTATTTCTCAAGTAGGTGCCTAAGAGAGTTATATTTAGCCATTAACTTTGGACTGTTATTAAATCTGATCTTTAACTAGCCAAAGAGGAGATTTTTGCAGTCTCACTCTCCAGAGCATCAAGCTGCAACAGGGAAATCTCAAGCTTCTTCTGCAAAGATTTAGAAATGCAACTTCAACTCTTTTCAGACTGAGCAACTGCAGCAAGTTCCCCTCATGCTATGAGATCAGCAATAGTCCCTGTCATGCTGAAGGACTTCCATCTTCTGCTCAGTCACCTTCATAAAACCCCATTCTAGAGTGAGGAGGGGAAGAAGGGAAAAGAACTTTTCATCACACTTCTAGTTGTTTTAAAGCAACTTTACATTATTATAGTGGATTTAGGAAAATTAGTTTTTTTAAGTGTTATTCCTCATGATGAACAGACAGCCATAAGCAATTATTTCATCGTTATTTCAAATGCATCAAAGGGATTTCACAAGAGTTTTACAGAAAAACATCCCTCAAGTGTGGCTCTTCCAAAGCCTTACTCCCTCCAAGTTACCAAATTACAATAAGAAAAGCTCAAGCTTCCTTCACAAAGCCATGAGAGAAGTGGGTCTAAGTTCCCCTGTGTAGGATGAGTGCACCTATATCACACAGAATCACAGAATTGTAGGGGTTGGAAGGGACCTCCACAGATCATCGAGTCCAACCCCCCTGCCAAAGCATATACATGTTTACACATATTTCTACACAACACCTCTTAATTTCAAGATCTGGAACTTTTGATTCTGTAGCTCTATGACCCATTGATGACAGAAGACTTCTGTCAAGCTGCAGAAGCTGGTGTTTCAGCAGGATTAGCAGCCACTCAATTGCTAGTGCACACTTTATACAGCGCAGAATTGCTCAGATTGGAAAAAGCCTTAAAGACCATCAAGTCCAACTGCAAAAATGCTTAGCAAAAAGACAGGCCACACCTTTCTCCTATCCATCTCAGACCCAAACTCACCTTAAATTGATTCTGATGAGGTTGCCTGGCTGACAGCTCAACGCTGACTTCAGACCAACATTTTAAGCCAAGCAGACCTCAATAAGGTCTCTGAGAAGTGACTGCTGCCACCTTATTCGTTCGTGTTCTGTTCAACCAAAGAGAACCACACAAATGTTTAGTTATCAGCAGCACTCTTCTTTACTTCAACCCCTCCAGCTGACTTTGCTCTGGCCTTTGATTTCTTCTTGTTGGGAATTTTGCTGCTTATGATGAAACAGCTGTTGTCCTAAGAATGAAGAAACAGTATTCACAACCCTGGTTTGGAAACACATCAGGAACAATTACTCATTTCCCAAGATTTAGGAACGCTTCAAAGAACTCGTTTCCACAATTGTAATTCCAAAGAGTACAGACTTCTCTCAAACCAACTTCCTCTCATACTACACATCAGAACCACACCAAGCTCAAGAATTCAGTACTCAAAGCATCATCTATTACTTCTTTGACACCTCAAAAGAGAAAAAAGCTTATAGTATTTTTCAAATTAACGAGTATTTACTTACCACTACTCTGACATCAAAGTCTTCTGGATTATCAGAGCCCACGCAGTTATTATCATCATCATCACTGAAATATATAAAATTGAAATAAAATCTGTACTTTTACAGTAGCACAGCATATATAAGCTATTCCCCTAATGCAGCACCACTTTCCCATAAAGCATATGGAAACACTACAGCTTATACATCTAGGATGCTCCCACTTCTACACGAGGTTGCTCTCTTTCTGGAACTAGATTCCAGCTACTGACACTGACAGAACCAGTTCCACCACCACAACTCACAGGTTTCTCTTTTCTCCTACTGGAGAGTGAATGCAGGTGCTTAGGTGCTGGCTGGAGTCAACATCCACGTGTCCAGGACTGAAGTGTCAAGGTTTCGATAGCAGGGGGATCCCACCTGGGGTCAGTTGGGGAAGGATGGCATCTCATGGGAGAGACACACTGCTCACTAGAACAGGTGGCACAAGGAGGCTGTGGATGCCCCATCCCTGGAGGCATTCAAGGCCAGGCTGGCTGTGGCTCTGGGCAGCCTGGTCTGGTGGATGGTGACCCTGCACGTAGCAGGGGGTTGAAATGGGATGATCATTGTGAGCCTTTTCAACCCAGGCCATTCTATGACTCCACATGCAGCAGGGATAGAGAGGCAGAAGCAAAGCTTTATGGAATGAGTGCAGCCCCCACTGCACTGCTTGGGGGGAAACTGTCTGTAGTTTGCGTTTAGTTCTCACTGCTTTCACCTGCTACAAATAACAAGAAATTGCATTCAGCTCCCTGTACTGAGCCTGTTCTGCCTGGGACAGTAACTGGTAAGTGACTGCCCTGTCCTTATCACAAGCCATGAGCTGTCATCTATTTTCTGTCTCTGCTCTTTTGAGGATGAGGAGTGAGCACACAGCACAGGGTGCTAAGCCCCCAGAATCCATTACTGAGTTACAGAAAAATCTATGAGGTATTTCACCAATGAATACAATGCACACACCAGACAATAAAGACAGCAATGCTGCACACACAAACTTAGATTTAAGCTGAGCACATAACAGCAACTTTTATACTACTCAAGATGAACTTACTTTGTCTCCTGGATAGGAGAAAGGGGGCCTTCGTCATCTAAATATTTGTGTTTCCGCACTACCAGGCATTCTCTTTCTAAGTCTTCACTGGCTTCAAGGGCTTTCAAAGCCTTTTTGAGGTGTTCTTCATATTTGAGCATTTCAACATATTGGAAATATCCCTTTGCAGCTGCTTGCTGAAGGAAAGAAATACATCTTAAACGCCACTATAAAAGGAATGAAGCATTTATATAATCAACTGAACTGTAACATTAAATAACAGCCTTAGGTCAGCTGGTTTGGTAAGGTATTGAATGGAAAGCAGCAGTCATCCTGCGTAACAAAACAAAAGAGGATTCATTTCACTGTGGCATTTAGGTAGAAGCACAACATGCCAACCTGCATTCATTGTTCCTTGAAATAAATCTAAAATCACAACTTCTCTCCCACAAAACAGAGCGCTCACCTCATAGCTAAGAACCATCTTTAAGGGAATATGTTTTCTCCCATAATGTTTTTCAACAAAAGGGAACTGAAAGCCTCGATCCTTAAGCCTTTTCCTTCGCTCCTGAGGTGAGGCTGTCATGGGCTTCTTCTTACCGCGCCTCCGTGTGCACCCAGAGGCTCTCTTTATCTTCCGTGAACCACTGCTCCGGTATTTTCGGTGTGCAGCAGCTTTAAACTTCCTTCCTCTGAAGTGATAGGCAAAAATGGCTTTCAGATTGAGCTTAGATTTCTTCTCTTGGGAGGCTTCAGGTGGCCTCACTGGGCTCTGAGTGGGCAGAGAAGAATCAGAACTTTCACTGCCAGGCACTCCTGCATCAGCTTCTGCTTGTTGCTTTGAAGGCTGCAATCTCCTCTTTCGCTTTGAAGGTACAACAGAGTGTTTCCTATGGTGCTTGCTGCCACTAGCAGCTGGAACATCACTGAAAAAGAAATGTGTATGTTCAGCAAAACACGTACATTAATGATGTATCACGAGTTCTGTTCATGAGCAATTCTAAGGAACTAGAGATAACTCACATTTCTGAATCACTGCTATCCACCTCATCTGAAGACGTATCTGTACTACTGATCTCATCTGAAGACTCCTCAGGACTGGCACCCTTCTGCCTTGAGCACAAATGTTCCTTCTGTGCACTTGCTGCATGCTCAGGTACTTTAGATCTTTTTTTCCTCTGAGTTAATATGATATCTTGGGCATCAGGATAATCAGAACCAGAAGCGTGGGATTCATCTGTATCAGTCATGTTTTAATCTGCCCTAAAAAATAAAGTACATTTTAGCACAGGCAAAGTTTTTCACATACAAGCACACGTGCACATAAGCCAACAGTTTCTTTAGCTTGTAGGGATGCTGCAGTTCTAAGCCACAAAAAAACACTTCACTGTAATTCATAATCATTTTCAACTAAGGATCTGGGCATAAGAACCCCATTTTCCCAATCTTTCGCTGGCTGTACAGCCCTGAGAGTTTCCTACTGTAACAACCTACCAACATTTCATTCCCCGGCCATGAGCACAGAACAGTCCCACGAGAAAAAGCTCGCTTTCAGCCGATCTGTAATCCGGCGCACTCCATCCGGCGCCAGGGCTCTACACACAAAGGGACCGGACGCAGAGCAGCAGGACGCGCCCTAAACTCTGAGAAAGGCCGGGAGTCTGCGCTGCCTCCCCACGGCCGCTGCCGAGCTCGGAAGGGAAGACCGCCCACAGCCGGCCGGTCGCCCGATGCCCGCTGCCTCCCCTCAGGTCGCCCTGCCCGCCCAGCATCCCGGGGCGGACATTTTGCGCGGTTCTCGCCGCACCACCGCGGCGCCGTGCCGCCACGAGGAGCCCGCTCCCCACCCTAGGGCCTTCCCCGCGTTCCCTCACGGAAGCGCTCGGAGAGACAACAGGCTTTCATTCCGCCTCAGCCCCAGACTGGGCTCCCCCGCCGCGGATGGCAGTGGATGCTGCACGCCTCCGCAGCCACGAGCCCCCCTCTCACCTTACGCTTCGTCTCCGCAAAGGGAGTACGATGGCCGCCTCCGAGACTAAATAGCGCTCGGCTCTCGCGAGATCAGGCGGGGGCGGGCTCTGCTGGTCGCGCGGGATGGGGCGCGCCGTAAGGAGGGCGGGGCGGCAGGGAGGGCTGGTTCGTGCTGTGACCCGAAGCGCGCGTAGCTTCAGAGGTTTCTCTGCTGTTCTGCTCGCTGTGGCACTCCGGAGAGTTGCTCTTGCAGGTTTGGCTCCGGGGCTCTTTCTGCGCTCACCTAAATGGCCCAAATTTCCCTTCTTGCATCTGCTATGAGTTCTGTGGCATGTTGGCGCGGTCTGTCGCGGCTCTGCTCTGCTCTGCTCTGCTCTGCTCTGCTCTGCTCTGCTCTGCTCGACGGCTTCGGCTGTGCCGTGCCCTCCGCCCGCAGCCTTCCCCCGCCGCTGCCGTGTCCGCCCGCCTCTTCCTGGCTGATGACCACGGCCGCAGCAGTCACATCCCCCTGCGTTTTGCCTTTCTCTGCGTTACGGCTGATTTTCCCTTCTCTTGCTGGCTGCTGTCTCTACTTTGTCCCTAATATTTCTTCCCCCCTCACCCCGATGCGTTTTTATCCAGTTGTTAACTTCTCCTTTCCGGTTTCTGCCCTTCTGTGCCTGGAAAAGCAGAGCTGAAATGTCTTTACGTGCTTGTCGTTTCTGTGCCATCCCGGACCTGTTCTTTGTGCGCCTTTCCCGTTTGTCACCCAGCAGCACCTCTGACAGCATTAATGTCGCTCCATCACGGCCCATCCGAGCCTCCGTGCCCCGCCGTGCCTTCCTCCCTTCCACCCCGCACCGACTCCACTACAAGCGCTGTCCTCACGCCGCTGCTCACCGACCCGCTTCCTTCCCGCTTGGACCCGGTTGTAACGCCCGGAGCTTTTGGCGGCGTGTCGGGAGCTGAGCGCGCTTTTCTCCTTTACGCAGCAGGCGATGGTCGGGGTGTTGCGTCGGAGCCTACCTGGCTGATCTGCGCCCGAGTCCTGTCTCTGCCCTTTGCATAACGCCGGCTCTGTTTTAGGATTATTTCAGCCGGTGTCTCGAGGAGCCCAGCGTCCTTCTGGACCTGATTTACAACAACGCTGCTGGAGTTGTTCTCTCTCTGACTTAATTGCTCCTTTTTTCTCAGTGCACTCTTAAAAGCCCTGGGCTCTGCCTCGGTCCATCTGGCAACAGGCACCACATGCAGCCCGTTTCCTTTTCCTTCTCCTTCACAGTCAGAGAAGGGAGAATTATCCGTGGAAGTGGATAAGCCCAACTAAGATGGAAATCACTGGACATGGATAGCTGTCTGTCTTTCTCTACTGTCTGCTGCAGGAGGAACGTGGGGTGGCTGACCTTTGAACTCGAAGACTTGGCTGACTGCTTTGTTCCCCCAATCCTTTTCTTTACTGTATTTTTTTTCCCCTGTGAGAGGACAGTAGTTTTTTTTTTTTTCCCCCACATACTTTTGACAATTATAAATGTCAGGAATTTATTTATTTATATAGAAGCTAAAAGTATCTGTAAGTAGCTGTCACATCACAGTCCTTTCTACCAAAAGCTCTGTTGAATCTGAGAGTGCCATTAGGTTTCTTGCCTTTTCTTACAAGGCCTGAGACCCATTTTCTGTTTTATGCAGCAGGCTTGTGCTTAAGCAGTTAATGATTGCTGGCACTGGTTTGTAGGTAGCATATAACCAGCTGCTTGTGCCCAGAGCTGGTGGTTTGCCCTCACAGCTGATTATGCTGTTGCATGGCTGACTGAAATATAGCTCATTTCAAAAGAAACTCCAGCATTTCTGTTCGGAACAAAGCTTTTTGTTAAGGGCTCTGTACTGATACAGAGCCCAATGCTGTAGAACTTGCTGCTGTTTTGTTGTTGTTTTTGTTTTTTTGCTTTGAGACATGCTACTGGCTTCTTCCCCTTTGGAAAGGGAAACACGTGCCCATAAGAAATTAGGAGCCAAGGTTGAAAGTCCATAGTAGCCAATGCTGGAAAAGTAAACATTAAGGTAGCAAAGACACAGTGAGGCAATTGCTGTGCTTAGAAGAGCCTGGTTTTCTTCCAACACAGCGTGACTTCAGGCTTACAAAGGACAAGTAACTGACCTGTCCCCTGAATTAGATTCAGCATATTACACATTTTATCTGCACTGAGTTGGAAGTTTGAGGACTAGCATATGTGGTGCTCTGAACCAGCTGCAGGGCCGGTAGGCACACCTTCTTCCAAAGCATATGAGAAAATGTTAATCTTGAAGCTGTCGTTTTTTCCCTCAATGGTATAATAACAATTCTACTGTGGTCTATGTACTTTTTTGTGAATTTGGCAGATAAACTGCATATTGAAAACAGTGTTTCAATCACTAAACCATTATCCTTGTTGACAGATCAGTCACTTCTGCAGTGTGTTGTACTGTATTTTCTAACCTGAAGAAATCAGAACCAAACGGGCAATGGCAAAGGTTGAAAAATTTGCTTTTCATGTTCCAAGCCTGGAGGAGCTTGCTGGAGGTAAGTCATGTAACCTTTTAGAAACTGGAAATATGTTTTTCAAACTTTCCTTAGTGCTCCCAGCAAATCCTCTGTACAGTTAATGCACAGAGCATGTTCTTGCTGTTGGCCCACTGGGACGTAAAGCCCTATGTTTCTGTACACCGTTAGTTCTTTAAAGCAAAGGATAATTCCCCCTCCAAAGCCCCAGGTGTCATTAGAGCGCGTGAGCAAGCTCTCAGTGTCTTTAATCTGCTGCATTTGTAGGTTTGTATAGGAGTTGTGAAAGCTTGACAATCGCAGGCTGAGGTTAATTACTCAATTGGGATCAGCTGCTCTCCTCTGCCTCCAGTATTTCTTTTGGAACTGCTGAGGACACACCTAGCAAGATGCAATATGGTCCTCTTCCTTGAGCTCAGCTGGTTCCTCTGCTGGTGACTGAGTTAGAAACAGACTGCGGGGAACAACTTATTTTTCCTTCCAAAGTCTTCACAAAATGCACTTAAAGCTTCTTGTTAAATACTGAACTTGTTTAAGTCAAAATCATCCCTGTTGTTGAGGTGTTTAGGCAGGATTTGGGCTTAAAAACACTGATACAGAACAAAAGAAAAAGTTCAGATTTGGGACTGATCATCAGCTCTGTTCACTATTTGCTCTGTGTTGCCAGTGGCACTCGGCAGGATGTCTGCTCATGGACAGAAACGTGGCAGTGCATACCCTGCACGAGCAGGTGTAAAAACAGAAACACTGCTGAATGTGGTTTAAGGTTATCCATGTTACTTAACCGGTGCTGTGCTTTGTGAAATTCTTAGTTAATGTGGTAATTAGCAGTGCTCTGAGCAAGCTCTTGCTGTTCTCTAAAGTTCTGTACAGTGACAGGCACTAACACTTCAGTCAATGGAGTTTCGTAGGGTATCTGTGTATTCTTTAAAGTGTCTTGCTGAAGTGAAGGCTAGACAGATTTCTGTTAGTTGTTTGTCAACCTCTCTGTAATTTTTCTTGCCAATAACTTTGCTGGTACTTATTTTTAAATTATAGTTTTGCAGAAAGGACTTAAGGAAAACTTTGCTGATGCCCAAGTCTCTGTTGTAGACTGTCCTGATCTGACTCAGGAGCCTTTCAATTTTCCTGCTAAAGGTAACCTGGTGGTCTTGACTTCTGCAGATCTCCTTAAAGCTATTAGAAGAGTTCATGCTGTTTTTCAGGTGAAGAATTTACATGACGGGAAAGCCACGCTTTATTCCTGCATTTGCTTCCTAGCTGATGAATGAACAAGCACAAATAATCCAAGCAGTTGTTCTCTTCTTTTTCTTAATCTCTGTCTGCAGTTCTCACTTATTTCATACACTTCAGTTACTGTGCTCAAAAGGTTTTGACATGGATAAATGTTTTAGATCCATGACAATCACTATCCAAACCAAAGGAGTCGTGCTTCCATTTGTTTAAGATTCCTGCCATCCACATATTATAAGTTAAACTGTTATATTTTGTATTATATAAAATATATTATTTTGTGTGGGGTTCATAGTCTTTGACATTACCTGTCTGGCAGACAGGTACCTCATCTGTGCTGGTCATGATTTCCCTCTATCATAAGTGTAGTGCAAGAAGCACCTAGGGAAGGTGTTTCATACCCAATATATGCCCAATGTCATACCAGGTATGTGCTCAAATAAATGAGATGACTTGGGCATCCAACACTGCAGAAATTTCCCAAGTGGAGTCTCCCAGTGGGAGTGTCAGCTGTGTGTCAGCTCCATCTTACTGGAGAAACTGCAAATGGCAGCTGTTGCCCACAGTATTTTTGTTTTGTGCTTATTTTACAAATCGATTAGCATTAAATTCCTCTACTGTGAACCATTTTATGGCTTACAGTCCTTACATTTCTTAATAGTGCAGCATCTTATCTAAGCACGTTAGAGAAGTTGTGATCTCCGGGTGTGTTGGATGTTTGAGGAACTTGTTCTTTGCTGTGTTGGGCTGCATGCTGATCTAAGACCGTCAGGGAAAACACTGTACCAAATTAACTGTCTGTATTTTTCCAGGAATCTGTGGAAAGCCTAGAATAACAGATGTGGGAGGTGTTCCATACCTCATACCACTTGCACAGACAGAAAAAGTGAGTTCTTGGTTTTGTTTTGTTTTTTTCCTGTAGCTATGGGATTTAAATTCATTCGTTAATAGAAAAGCAGTATCTTGTCGAAATAAAATCAAAACCCAGGGCTAACAGATACTGCATGATTCCACTCGTGCAAGAGTTTTCCATGTTCTTTGAAGTTGATTCTGATGTATATTAAACATTGACCATGTCAGAAGTCTTACACATCTTAGAGAAATATCGTATGCTGTTCCATGGTTCATCTTCTCTTTCCCACAAATACTGGACAGTATTGAAAGTTCATCATCTGTGACAGGAGCCATGGAAGGAACTAGAGGAGCTTGTCTGCACGTTTATAAGTGGCTTGTTGTGTGTCAGTGATTTCAAGTCATGCTTCTTAGTAACATTGGCTGTATTTGTGTTTTCAAGTCAACAGTAGTTTGACATTTCTGTCCTTCCCAAGAATATCATGTCTCCTTTCTGACACCCAGCCCCATCTGTCTTGTAT